CCTTCTCTACCTTTCTTATTACATCTTATATAACCCTTCCATTACCCTTCCATTACCCTTCCATTACCCTTCCATTACCCTTCCATTACCCTTCCATCATCTTTCCATTACCCTTCCACCACATAAATACACCCACTAACACCCCCCACAACAAAAGTGACCGACACATCCCTCATTGCCCTCATCACCCAAGCCCTCAAAGCCTCAGGTCTCCCAACATCAGTCCAGCCAGGGCCCTTGTGCTTCCCGCTTCCTTCTTCTGCGGACGCCACCACCGCCATTGCTGTTGACAGCGACGGGAATGAGGCTGGACCCACCGCAGCCGAACTTCAAGGAAGAGCTGCTACAAAGCTTCATCTTCATGAGATGTGGTTGTATTCGGAGAGGGTGGAAGAAGATGATCATGAGAAAATAGCCACGTTGACTTCAGAGCAGGGGAAAAAGTTGAAGTGCGACGGAAATAGCTGGGATGGGAAGACTTTGGCGAAGAGTTCGTTGGATATTAAAGTTGATTTGAGGGGGCTGAAAGAGTAAGAAGACGGAAAGGAAAGAGATGGATGGATGGATGTGTGTTTGGTGGGCGGAGGTTAGGGCTGCTTAACATTCCATCACTGATTTCTCGAGGGCGGAGAAGGGATTGGAGATCTGAGAAGGGTATCTAACCCAGTTGAGACTTGGAGAATACATATAAATGAGCACTTCGGACCGGCAAGTTGGTATGACCCCATGAGTCGACAGCATCTATGATCAATTAACTTGACTTGAGATGGCATCTTATTTCAAGAAAGTTCTAGTCAAGTACCAGATGTACCATCAAGTCCTGTCTCATGTTTACTGGAATGTATCTGAGGTTGCCTCGCAGCCAGATCATCACTCAAACATTCCGTCCAAATACAAATACACAACATCGTATTTCTCCCTTAAATGCCCATCTTCTCCCCGACCAGAAACTTGCCAGCCAAAGATTTGGGTATATCGCTCAACTGACAGGACAAGCAAACATCAACAAAGTCAAACCGCTCATATCCTTCATCATGGCTAACTGATATTGACATTACGCAAACATTTCAGGTCCGGACATACTAACTCCAACCCAGTGTTTCAAGAATGCCCTTGGCCTCAATCCCACTGAAGCCGGAAACCGCGACAGCCCGAGCCTGGCTACCGCTCCGAAGCGACTGAAGACCCTTTGCAATCTTCCACGCCTCCTCTTCGCCGACGACAAACAAGAAACGTTTGCCCTCCTGATCGCGGATCGATGTTCGAAGGAGATGCAGACCTCGGAACTTCCATCCGTCCGCCTCTTGCGAAGCAGCCGACCCAGTCGCCGAAGAGCCCGAGCTGTTAGCATTCAGGCCCAACCGGCAGTTCGTACTGCAGCAGGTACCTAATTCGTTCAGGTAGGCCACGGCCTCCTCGCCATTAAAGGCCCTGGTAGCAGCTTTCTCGGCCGCGCGGCGCATGGCGCTGCTTGTGGGCATCATTTTGAAGAGCGGGTGTGAGGATGGGATGGCCCCCGAGGCAACTCCTGTGCCGTTAGCGGAGCTAGCAGCGAGCACAGGACACCAGACTTCGACCTGCTTAAGGGTCCAGGCCTTGATGTCCCACTCTCGTTGGGCAACGCCGCGCACATCGTCATCCACGAAAAGACCTGCGGTCGAGATGCGGAGGATGAGCCCGTCGGTTACGGTGCCGATACCGGAGATAAGCTGCGAGGCAGGGGTTTTCGAAAAATGGTTGACAAAGTTATAGACGGCCTTGATGACGATCTTGCCAGGATCGTCAGTGTGGTATGGAGCCCGCATCGAAGGCGGAGGGCTAGTGTTGTTGGTGGTGGCAGACTGAGCGTACGAGTCCTCTGAGAGATCCGAGATGGACTTTTTACGGGCCGCGGTAGGGTTTTTAGGCTTGTCGTATGGCCGGTAAGAGTACTCGTCAGCAGTGCCTGTTGCACTCGAAGCTGGTCTGGGGGATGCGGGCTTTGGCGATGCCGTCCTCGCTGCCGCTGGATTAGGCGATTTTGTGGGCGAGTGTGGTGGCGCGGGCGATGCGCGCGGGGTCGAAGTACGAGCGGTGGAAGCATGAGAAGTCTGCGAGGCGGTGGCCGAAGGAGTAACAATCGAAGGTGGTCTGCCATTTGGCCACAAGCTGGTCCTTTCGCCAACCTTTGGCATCGCATACGGTGTTTCCTTGCGCGCAAGCCTCTCCTTCTCCTTTTCCATCTCCTCGTCTTCTCGCCGAAGCTGCTCAAGGCGCTCCTCCCGATCCCGCTGTTCTTGTGCTTCGCGGGCTTCACGAGCTTCCCGTTCCCTTCGCCTGATGGCTTCCCGGACTTCACGGTCCTTCGCCTCTTGCCGATCCCTCTCGAACCGTTTCCTTTCTTCCTCACGTTGTATGGCCTCGTCCTTCTGTCTCAGTTCCTCCCGCTCACGGGCTTCGCGCAGCTCACGCTCCTTAGCCTCGCGGTCCTTTTCCTCGCGTTCTTTGGCTTCACGCTCCCTGGCTTCGCGCTCACGCGTCAGCTGCTCGCGCAGGAGCCTCTCCCGTTCACGCTGTCTGGCTTCTTGTTCCAGCTTGATTTGGCGCTCGCGTTCCTTGGCCTCCCGTTCTCTTGCCAATCGCTCCTTTTCTATAGCAGCGAGTTCCTTGGCTTCCCATTCGGCCTTTTGGCGTAGTTCCTGCTCCACCTTTTCTCTAATCTCGCGCTCCAGGCGCTCCTTCTCCAGAGTCTCTTGTTCCTTGCGCTCCCTCTCTCTTTCTTCCCTCTCACGGGCCTCCTTCTCCCGTTTCTCGCGCTCACGCGCATCACGTTCTCGGAGCTCACGCAGACGGCGAGCCGCATCATCGCGCCTCTTGAGTTCGGCTTCCCTGGCCTTACGCTCCTCCTCCCGCCTTCTAGTCTCCTCTCTCGCCTTTTCCCATGCGCCTTTTGAGGAAACTTCAGACTTGGTTGGATCTTCAGGGTCAAGAGGAGTGGAAGGCCCATGCGGAGGCTCTTGAGAGTCGACTGACTCCTGTCTATGCGGCTCCGGCACTGGCTCCTGTTCGTAATCCGGATCATCTTCAGGACGAAGCTCAGGCTCTGGCGGTGGCTGGTGTTTCGGCTGCGATCTTGCTTGTGTCTTGGAGTGGGATTTAGACTGGGACTTGGTGTGGGACCGAGTTTGGACAGGGGACTGAGATCTCCGGTGTGACCTTGTCTGTGTGGGAGACTGCGGTCTCTTGTGCGATCGAGTTTGTGTTGGGGATTGTGGTCTGTGCTTGGCCTTGGGTTCCGGCTCCGGCTCGGGCTCAACATGTGGTTCCGGTTCCGCGTCATTGTTCTCCTTCCACGAAGGACGCGACCACTCATCGGCCGGAGTCTCGGGATCCGTGGGAGGTGTAGGGGGACGTGGTGGCGGCGCGTGCGTAGACTTGAAGTCTTCATAAGGGGGCGCTGTCTTGAACGCCCCAGAGGCATCGGATTCGCCAGTTGTCTTTTGCCAGTCGCTTCCCGACCCCAGCTTTACGTTGCTTGTAGATCGGCCGAGAGACCAAGATCCCACCGCTACCACAACCAGGAGTACTGACAGCCCAACGCTGCCCATCCCGCTGTGCCACCATGACAGAAAAGCCGGCGTCAGCGCCTTCCCTAGGAGCAGTGCAGCAAGGGTGGAGATGACACCTGCACAGAAGCTGTTCCATTGCGGTTGCAAGGATGGTAGATATAGGAAGCCAGCACCAGCAGAGTGCTCCGGTATGATAAATACATCGTATTTCCTAGGCGGAAGAGCACTTGAGCCAGCCGATGTTTTTGGATTTTTGCCGTGGGGCGGCGGAGGAGGTGGCGGTGCTTCATCCATTCCGTGACCAGACCGTAACCGGATAAGTCTGAGTGATGTTTTCGGAGAGAGATGCCGTCAATAAGCCTGCAGACGGTCGCAAAATATGAAGGGGTCTTGAAGTTCGAATATCAGGTTGTTCTATAGTGCTCGTGGGCAGCCATGAAGGCAGCCAGAAGTACTGGAGAGCGGCAGAAGTCTGCCATGTGTGTGTCAGCCTCAGTCCTCAGTGTAACCCGGAATACGCGAAAGGGACAAAGGCGCAGAGACATGCAGCAGCTGGCGCACCAGGGCGCTCTTGACAGCTCGCGAAGACGCACGACGCTGGGAGCTCGAAGGAATGGTGGTGGGCTTACTTACATGTCCGGCTTCGTTGCGATCGAATGTGGTTGTCCAAGGTCAAGATATGAGAGTTGTGGACTGCAATGACCGTCGTTAGGTGTTGTCACGCGACCAGCAAGTTGATGTATGGGACAAGATTTAATGTCGGTGGCCGGCGCACACAAGCGTTGAAGGGTTCAGGTTGTCCTCTGTCTGGATCGGAGGAGGAAGGGGCTTTGAAGAAGACAGATGGGAAAAAGAGAAAATCGGGAAGCTAGCCACAACAGGTTCAGGGCGTGCATGGTTGCATTTTGTGTGTGCGACGCCCTGCTTGTTGGTTGGAGTGATTGGGAAACTGCGTGCAAGTGAAGTGGAAGTGGAAGGCGGTGCTCCCGTCCCGCCCAGGCATTGTTTACTTCCTCTACAGTGCCATTGACCGACAGGGGCAGGAACCTGTGGAGTTTTGGGCGGGGTACAGGGGTTGACAGCCTGGCCGTGCTGGCGCAGTCAGCAGCTGAACCGGCACATGTATTCTGTAGTGTGAGTAGAGGTACGTAGTGTGCGATGTCCCTCTTGCTCCCGGAAAGGCAGGAACCCGTCTCCAATACGATGGCGAAATAGATTACCCTGTGTCGTATATCCATAATCCGTATATCCTAGATGTATCAATCAGCTGAAAGTTGCACAACCTAGTTGTAACAAATCATCTACCGCCAATTCGACGTCCTCAAAGTAATAGGCTGTGCATGAGACCCTTAAGCGAAGCGCTGACGTGACCAAAGTTTCGAAACATGCCCAGGCTACCCGGCGCGGCTTGGCCCTTGCTCGACAATTGTTCTCTTCTAACATTCACCTACACCTATGTGGTAAGCGCACTCTACATCAACGAAGCTTTGGGAATCGCATCATGTTGGATGGGAATTCAAACTCGCAAAGTGACAGGAGAGGAGCTCAACCGTTGCTGGGCAACCAACTTACGTCCCCATCCGTGACGTAACTGGGACCTCTGGTTTTCTGAACTATATACACTACAGGGTACGAGGGTCAACCGCTGTAACCAGATGGCTGGGAGCCTCGGGCCCAGCCACGCCAAGTTGTAGTGAAGGGTATCAAACTCACCGCCTGCCTCCTACAACAGACATGTTTACGAGCGTACTATGCTTTGTAACCTCGACTTCAGCCAGGCTAGGCAATAAACAATTTGATCAGAGTTTCTTTTGCGCTATATGATGAGAGCAAGGTCTCCCCCGGTCTCCAACCCAACTGATAGATCCACCACGCTGTAAACTGGAATGAATGACAGATATATAAGCCAAACGGTATAACAAACAGGACTCTCACAAACAACAACCCAAACTCCTCGACACAGAAGAGAAGTAGCTCCGTAGCAAAAGAGTTTGTCAAGGGAAAAGAATGATGCATCAACCAAATGACTCCGTAGGTTGTCCCAAAAGAAGTAGGCCAAACTCCACCACGCAAGTGAGCACATCCGACAACCTCCCCAACACCCACTGCAACAACCAAAACCCTTGGACGCCGGCGAGAACGCCCTTGACACAAAGCAAAAGGAAAGCATCAAACATGTTACCTTCTTCGCCGCCGCCGCCGCCGCCTCCCGAGGGCCTACCCTTTGCTCTCAAGCCTTCATTTCGTTTCCCCATTCCTTCGTCCCCTTGTGGCTGTTGTTGTGATGCGGTCCTGCTCTTCTTCTCGTCTTTGGTGCTGCTGTGGTCGTCGTGTCCGTCGTCGTCCGATGATAATTCATACAGCCATTGGTCTCGTCGTAGTCGTAAGCGGCCATTTCGGGGTCTGTGGATAGCTCCGTGCTGGTCTTCTTGTGCCACCGTAGTAGGAACAACCACAACCTCCGCCACGGAGCCTTCCTCGCTTGACATGATAAACATCATCCTGTTCAGACTATCACCGTCGTTATTCTCCTCATCCTCATCCTGTGTAAAACTTTCATGATCCCACTCGGGAAGCGGCGCCTCACGTCAACCAAGCCTCTTGACCCGTCCCTTGGCGACCCTCAACTTCTTATCCACCACATCAACATTAGTGTTGAGGTTATCCAGCATGTTCGTCTGCCGCTCAACCTCGTCGTTGATAGCCAGTCCCATTTCCTTCTGCCGCCTGACAATCCTCGCCAGCGCCTCCACCTCCATATCCTGATCGCGCATCGTATCCCTCTGCAGCTGCAGCACCCCCTCATTATCCAACTCCCTCGTCCTTTCCGTCTCCGGCAACGGGGCGCCCAATACCCTCCCTCCTCTCACCGACCCTCCACCAGCACCAGAAGACCCAGCAAACAACTTGGCCCTCTCCCCGGCCTCCCCACTACTACTCCCACTCCCCGATGGCCCACTAATCGAAGCCTGCCTCGCCGCCTCCCTGCTCGCATGCGCCAAGCTCGAACTGAGCTTATCCAACCCATCCCTCTCCACCCTCGCGGCCGCCAGCAGGTCCCTTCGTCTCCTGAGTTCCCCCTCCCCGACCCGTCCACTACTCTTCAGAACCCCCAAGCCCTCCTGCAACGCGCCCAGCAAGCTGCCCGCCCTAACCAGCGCCCTCTTGGCCGCCGCGCCCGCCTCCAGCTTCGTCATATTCTCCGTCGCCCCATCCCTCCTTCCCAGCGCCACGCGCGCCTCGTGCAGCGCACCCTTCAGCTCGCGGTGCAAATCCAGCCACGTGCCCGGGTCACTGGCAGCAGCGAGGTTCGCGTCCTTCAGGCCTATAGCGGGAATTTTTCCCTCGATTCCGCTGCCACTACCCGCAGTACTAGCGGCGGCATTGGCACCGCTAGCCCCGCCGGGCAGGTTCAGAAACGCGCGCCAGACGGGCGTATCACGCCACCGACGATCGGGCGGCTCGGCAATGGCGCGGAGGTAGCGCTCGAGAGCGACGCGGCGCTTTTCCGTCAGCTCGGGGGAGTTGACGGTGGATTTGAACCAGTTTTTGGCGGGCAAGGGTTCGGGGGGCGGGGATCCGACAAGGGAGGTGAGGGCTTGGTGCAGGGCGAGGAAGTCGGAGTAGCGCTTTTGGACGACGAAGGAGCGGAGGGGAAGTCGGAGAGTGATGTTATAGAGTGTGAAGGGTTTTGAGGAGCCACCGGATTCGGAAGAAGGGGTGGATATGGAGGTTGTGGGGATGGAGATCTCGGCTGGGGGGGCCATGGTTGCCGTTGCCGTTGCCGTTGTATATGGCCGGGATCTTCGGCTGCTTGTTTGTGTGTTGAATTGTTGTTGTCGAGGTTAAAAGGTTCGTGTGGTGTTGTTGATGTTCAAATCATAGAAGGACGACCCGGCGATGACGAAAGGCAGCAGCTTTCAGGTCACTCGGGGGAGTTTGGTCGTGTGACTGTGACGCGAAGCGATCGGCCGGAGAGAGCGTCGTGAATGTCTTGGCTTGTTAGGATAGCGACAGTCAACTTGATAAAGCAGGGGTTTTTCGTTGGTAGATACGGATCGAATGGATTTATCGTGATCTGTGTGGACCAAAGGTCAACAGGGCTGGGCTGGCAGGCAGGCAGCACTGATGCTAGGTGATGAATCGCCACGGCAATGCTGTGTGAATGGCTGGGGATGATGGGATGGTTCGTTTCAATGCTGACGAAGCGCTTCGAAACTGAATGACTTGAACAAAATGGTGGGTATCTCTTGCAAGATCAAAGAAGCAGACGCGAATGCCCAATGCAAAAAATGGGAGAGAAAGACAAGGAAAAAAAGAGGAAGAGAAAATGTGTTGCTATCGATCAGAGGTCGAGATCAATCTGGTGTTTGATGTTGTCTGGAGAATCACATCAGACCTTCGATTGGGGTAAAATGCAGTGGTTGTTGTCAATGCAGTGCAGTGCAGCTGATCGATCGATTGGTTGGTGGTTGGCCGTGTTTGAAGTTAGGTGGAAAAACCTCCAGTGTGTCATTGCGTCCATGGACAGCCAGAAGACGGATGCCCGCGATCGGATGCTTTCTCTATGTATCCAAAGCGTCACTGCCTAACAGGGTTCGCTGGCGTTTAGTACCTGGATCAGTTAAGCGCCAACAGACGAACCCAGCGACAGGAACTCTCAGGTCTGGGCACCTTTCCGGCCCCAGCAAGGTACGTGGCGTGGCTGACGGGTCTCCGAAACGACATGATCCCCACTGTCTACACTACATACTCCGACTCTTTTGTGATCATCTTTCCAGCGGTAGCATCCCGTGTCTTTTTTTCCTCCCCCAAGTAGAAATATGTTCGTGAATGCGGTGTAACTTGACGGCCTGGGAACAAGCTTAAGGGAGCCATGGATTCCACTTTATAAAGTTCAGACGCTGTAACACAAATGCACTCACCCCTCGGGTCAGAAACACGAGGCATCAATCACATTTTATAGACAACCACCAGCGAGGAACGATTCATCTGCCTATCACCTCACCCGTACCATTCGAAATTCAACAGGCTCACAGTGCAGGGGGAGAAAAAAAATCCCAGATAGCTTTTATCTACCGTCAAGTCTTCGTCGTATGTGCGAATTGCAGTGCGTGTGGACTATGCTGAAACCTTCCGACCCAGCTGGTGTCCAGGGAGTCATAAAAGCCCTTCTGTAAATATTGCAAATCCGTGCAAAGAGAGGGTATAGAATAGAGGATCAACCCCTATCCCATACATACCACATGCTGTCCGTCCCAAATGTATAAAAAAGGGTCCCTTTGTTATGCTTCAAGAGAGCCCACTAGTATCAGATCCGTCCTCTTTTCCTGATACACCACGCAATGTGCCCGCCAACAATACCAACAGCATAGCGACCCTTGTAGTCCGCAGTTCATGACCCGGAGCCAAATAACAACACCATTAATCTTCGGCCTCTGCGCAAATCCAACCCAATCCCCCCACCCTCTAAACCGCGTGGCGCTACCCTCCGCCTATCTCGGTGAGCAGGCCGCGTTGCAGTTGTCGCTATAGTCGTTGAACCAGCATGTGATACGTTTAAAAGGTCTCCTGATCGTCGGCGGCTTCGGCGTCGGCCTCGGGAATCTCGAAGCCCTCCTCGGTCGAGTAAAGGATGGCCTGGATGGCCTTGATGAGACCGTCCTCCTGCTTCTCGAGTTCGGGGTCCTCCTCGACAGCGCTTTGAACAAGAACCTCAATGTCGCGCAGCTTGTGGAAGTAGAAGTCACGCTCGCGCTCCAGGCCGCCGACGGCCTCCTTGAGAGTTGCGACCTCTTGCTGGAGAGCCTGGGTGGCGGCCGAGTTAGCAGCGGGGGCTCTGGCAGCGACACGGGGACCACCGGTGGGGGTGGCGCCACCGGGACGTCTCGCGGCAGCCGAACCGGCGGAGGCGCGAGAGGCACCGCTCATGGTGGCAGGGAGAGCGCCACCCTTGCGACGGGCAGCGGCATCGTAATCACCGCCGGGGTAGTACTGGTCCCAGAATCTCTTGGTCCACTGCAGGAAGTCGAGGTTGTCCTGCATCTTGCATTTTACGAGCGCCTCGATGGGGATGGACTTTTCGATCTGGTGCTTGGTGAAGGTGTCTGGAGGAAAGCCGTCGTCAGTAACATAACTCGCTGTGCGGCTTGGCAGGGGAACCGGCTACTCACTCTGGAGGATCTTGAAGTTCTGAATGTAGGCATATTCCGAGGTCACGTTGAACTTGACGCGGGACATGGGAACATCGCCGAAGATGCTGTCGTAGACCTGGCAGAGGGCGGCGCTGTTGCGGGCCGGGGGCGATTAGTAAAAGGGGCTCTCGTTCAACGGTCGGGCGCGGGGCGGGGCGGATGGCGATGGAGGGGCATGGCAAACTAACCCAGTACCGCACTGCTCAACCTTGGTCAGGTTGAGTTGGAGAAGACTGTTGATCCATTGAAGGAGCTCTTGACTGTGGACATTTAATCGTGGTCAGTCCAAGATCTTGAGAGCTGGTGTTGGGCCCCGACCCGGCGCAAGGCGTGGCCGGGGCGACAAGCAACACGGGGATGGCGTAGTACACACCGTGATTCACCCATTTTGGCCGGCAAGTCTGGGGTTCGCAAACAACAAGTGAGCGCGGTTGTAGAGAGGAAAGATGTACGTTTGGCTGCAAAGCAGACGGTCGTGAGAAGAGAAGAGCAGCTGAGTGCGCGGCAGGCAAGGATTTGGAAAAGGGCGACAAGGGAGAGTGGCTGTGGAAAATGTGTTGTTGATTCGTGAGAAGTTCACTGGAAGACTATCTGTCTGGTCAGTTCCAGTGGCTGCAGGCTCACTGTTTGTCGATGTCTTCTTCCTCCCACTTGCTGGACTGGCTGCTTGCCTGCCTCTGAAACGGGCAGCGCCAAGAGCAAGCAAGTGCCAGCCAAAATTGATGGAAATCAAGGTCCCTAGGGCGTGGGGCCAATCACAAGCCCGATTCCTCGGGGCCCTGGCTCGAGCCTGGCTTTGAAGAAAGTGGTGGACCTCAATTGAGCTCCCTCCTGTTTCTCATCGGGTCTGTGCTTTGTCTCGCACGTGACCGTGTAAGCTATACCTAGCTCTTATCTTATTGCTTATCAATATTCACTGAGCTTCCACTTCCACTTCCCCCCCAAACAAATGTAACCATTGGACTCGATAGGTTTTGAGCTTCCTGAATTCTGACTTTCATGTTGTCTTGCTTCACCTTCTCTTGACCTTGGTGGTTGCGATACTAGTCACCCAAAATGCGCCCCTTTGGTTTTCTTAACCAGTCTGACGACGACTCAAAGTGGATGATGATTTTGGCAAGGCACACCCTGTCAGCGGTCATTTCGTTAACCGTTCGAATCTGTCGGGGTTGAGAATAGCGAGATGGGCCTTGCTGAAGACTTCGGCGACCTTCTGCAACCCAACAAACAGTTGACTCTCGCTCTTTCTGAACTGGATATAGGACCAACATGCTCTCTTTGGCGAATGCGATTCCTGTAATTGCGCAATCACTCGGCTTTCAAGTTTTGGAATGTTGCTCTCGACTCCTTTTGCGCAGCTGACGCCCATCATGAGGTTGCTCGTCATCGTTTTGGACAGTTGGGCTGCTTCAACCAGAGTAAAGACGGGAACTGTCTACTCTCGGTAGAATGGGGATGAGTCAGTGGGCTCTACTGGCTCTTTATATTACAGTATAAGTCCATCTTCACTCTACTTTTGCCAATTCCTTCAAACACATGACATCACATATACATTCCATCGGAAGCTAGTCTAGGCGTTAACGCCGACTCTCCGATGTCACATCGATGCCAACCGGCTCGGTCCGTCTTCTGTCGGCGTTTCTAATGCCCGGGATCCCTTTCTTCACTTTCTGACCGAGAAAGGGACGGGGTTTGCCGCGCTTGGCAGTGGGTTTCTTTTTCGGTGGATTTCTCCGGAATCAAGATCAAAGAAGATCACGATCGTGGGGGCTCCTACATTTGGAGAAGACCCTTGATGCGCGCTTGATAAGCGAGCGCCTGCAATCGAGGGAATCTTCCTGCAATCGGTCGATTTTCGGACGTCTTAAGAATGACGCCATGTTCATCGCAACTTTTTATCCAGAGTACCGGGTCACCACTGCATGTCTGTACTTGAGGTGTAAAGCCGAGGTTTGAGTGTTCTGTGGTATGTACACTACTGCATAGAGGTATGTGCAAACACTTGAAGGGAACCCGTGCTTAGAAGTGTCATCCAACAACATCTTTCCAAGTCTTGACATACAACAGTTTGTAATCAAGTCTTCGAAGCCGAGTTCATTCCGACGAAGGTACCCCTCCATCAAGAGTCTAGACCCATTCCATCCCATGCTCTGACATGATCAGCGATTCAAGCGCTCTAAGCCATCTCTAAGTGCCGTCGTTCCGTCTCCCAAGGACGTCGTGGAACCAACTTTGCAACATTTTCCTATCTCTATGCCGGATCCATATCTTGGGTAACGGTGCGAGCTTGCTGACATCGAATTTGAGAGCGATCAAAGAGCATTCGCCATTTTCTTCGAACCCTTGAACTCTTCCACATTCTTTCCAAGTTCACCTAGAACCGGCAATACATACAGCAAACCCTCGAAGCAGATTTATATCCTCGATAGCCTATTTACACATCACCATGGCGGTTGATTACCCTACCAACATGATCTGGAGTACCCTCGTAACCAAGAGGGCGTACTTGGGCGGGGCTCTGGTCCTCAACCACAGCTTGAAAAAGGTGGGGTCAAGGTACCAGCTCAAGATCATGGTCACCCGCGAAGCTCAGGCCGACAAGGAATTTATGGCTGTTTTTGCTGCTGCTGGTATTCCCACCATTGTCATCGAAACTATCGAGCCTGCACGGCAAGGCAAAGTCAACAAGGCATTTTGGCAGAAGCTGGCTCCATGGGCGATGACCGAATATGAGGTAGGTACCATATCGAATATGCACCAGGGCTGTATAGACTATCAGACTAACAACATCTCCAGAGAATCGTCCTCCTCGACAGTGACCAAGTCATTCTCCAAAACATTGATCATTTGATGACCCTACATCTTCCAGAGGGCTACATTGCATGCGCACATGCCTGCACTTGCAACCCCCGCAAGCTTGCCCACTATCCCAAGGATTGGTACGTTCTCTGCTTTGGTTCACCCGTCGATCCCGACGTGTTTCCTGCCGATCATCTCCATAGAATAGACGAACCTCGACTAACAACCCCCTAGGATCCCCCAAAACTGCCCCTTCGCCTCTGCCAACCAGCACACCGGCTCCCCAGCACCCATCACTCCTTCCTCTCCACGCACGCACCACCTTCTCAACAGCGGCACCGTAGTCCTCACGCCATCAAAACCGCAATTCGACGCCCTCATCGACGCCATCAACACCCACCCGGACGTCCCCCATATGGTCTTCCCCGACCAGGACATCCTCGCCATCGTCTACCGCGGCAAGTGGAAGCCGCTTCCGTACGTCTACAACGCTCTCAAACCGATGCGAGACTGTCACTCGTCCCTGTGGAGGGACGAGGATGTGAAGATACTGCATTATATCCTCAACAAGCCGTGGGAGAGCCGCGATTTTGATGAGAACGACAAGGTGGAGTCAACGCATCGGTTGTGGTGGGGGGTGTGGGAGGAGGTGGAGAGGGAGTGGACGGGAGGGGAGGCGGGTGAGGAGAAGAGGAGGTTGTTTGACAGTGTTTTGAGGTCGGTTGTTGCGCAGGCGTGAGGGAGTGGAAGGTGTTTCTATTTGGCTTGACAGAAGGGCCTCGGGGAAAGGCGAGGAAAAGACATTGGTTACAGGGTTTAGAACGGTCAGAGGAGATGCCTTAACCTGGGCTGGTGGTATTTTGGCTTACGATACGATGATTACCAACAACGCGCACTTGGAGGCATGGAAGCTACAATAGGGAGCGAAAGCGACGCCTGTCTTACACGCAGCGAGACAAGTTACGGATATACGCGTTGGCTTGAATGTTCCCATGAGGCTGTTGACGATGAACAGATACCATACGTATTGGCCACGCTGGACTGGTAAGTAGTACGTTGCCATCTTCTTCTCTTCCATCTTCCCTGGAAGATGCCAAGCCGGTGGGGCGGCCACCTAGGCTACCATCGTCACTTCCTAATTAAACAAGAAAGAAAAGAGGGGTAAGAGCATCGTGAAACTACAAGTAGGTTCTCGTCGTGAAGGCCCGGTGCCTCGGACACCACTGCACTCTGATTGATAACTCCAGCTTGTCTCCTCAGGTCATACTATCCAACATTCAGCACAGCCGTCAACGAATCATTCTACCTTCCAATGAAAGAATTTGAAGCGCTCCTGAGCAGCTCAGAAAATGTCCGTCGCCAAGGATTATAATGACTCAAATGACCTCGACAGCCACCGCCGGCGCCTGGAGATATTTCCAGTCAAATAGCTCGTTCGGGCACAGACTTCTCCTGACCAGATGCCTATTCAACATGGGATAAATGTAAGTCTGGATTGTCACTGATGTTCAAATCTCCATGGCTCACAATGATGGGAACGACAGATGATTGAACTATTAGCCATCCACACCTTTATGAATCTTAAAGTCCTCGAAGCCATTGGCCCAACCCGTTCAATCTCGCTCGACAACTATCCAAAAACCACAGAAGCACGGGATTCACTCCTGGGTATGCCCTACATGCTTTCCATATCTCTAACCTGACCACATTACTAACCCTTCATGCACTCAAAAGGACGAATGGCCCGCCCTCTCGCAGCCACCGGCTTTATTGACCAAGTAGAAGTCCAATCCTGACATCCCAACAGCAGCAAACTAGAGTATGAACGCACCGAATTCTCCCTCGCCTACACCATCCTCTTTCAACAACTACCACCAACAACAAGAACCCAACAATTTCTTCACGGTCCTCTACAACCAATACTCAAGACTCATGCTTAACTTTTCCGATTCCTACCTCCCGTTCGTCGCCGTCTTAGCCCGTAATCTGAACTTGAGCCATCCATCCCCTTCTCACCCCCCTTCTCACGCCTTGTCTTACTCCTTCTCATTTTTATCTCCCTCATGTCCCTTCTCCACCTCCTCCTTTTCTTTCTCCTCTTCCTTTCCGGTACGTGGCGTCCGGGAATTCCAAGATCCGCTGCTTCACCCGTTCACCTTTGCTTACGGACAATACGGCAGGACGACGGCTTGGGAAATCATAGGGCAGGATTCAGAGAGACCTGGAGACTTTTCAAAGGGGGATTGATGGGTTAGGTGATGTCATGATTCCATGTGTGGGACATTTTGATTTTAGGTCTTTGGCTGCGAGCGAGGCTGGTAGAGGAGATGTAGGCGACGGTCACGGAGCAGTGTCGAAGCAAATTTTGGAGGCGCACGCTTAGTTGAACCCCGAGATAATCCTGTTGCAGGGTAGGGAGTATGTGATCGAGCTGGTGAGGACTGGGCAACGGAATAGAATGGAACTGCCGAGGGGTGTGAGAGTTCTGGTTCGTGATTTTATGGGGAGGCAGTCTGTTAGAGGTAGGTACCTTACACACACCCATATCCGTGGGCGTACCATTTTGGCTGCTGAAGTTGTTAACTGACTTGCTTCATCAATGCCAGGCGCGAAAGCATGTTTCATGCAAATTATCCTCCACGATCATCAGTGGTGGAAGGCAAGATAGAGGAAGTAGTTGCAAGGTGAGTGGCAACTTCGCCAGCTCCACATCGGTCAAGGGGGTTTGTTTACATCGTGGATATCGCGGACCCTAACCCTTGTCGATCATGGTGTTTACCTTTCCATTTGTCGAAACCCGTCTTCTTTGTCCGATCTCTTTGACGCTGGTGTTTCAGGACGGTGGTATCCCAGTGATTCCTTTGAGATTGAGTTTTTTTTTTTTTTTTTTTTCCCAAAATTCGATACAATTTGAAGATCAAATTGAGAAGACAAGCGAAAAATGCGCCCTGGGACGCTTTCTCCGGCCATTCTGATTCGCTCCAACCCAAAGTATCCACCTCGTTGTCCACAACATGAATGCACGAACAGGTTTCACGGTCCCATTCGTTCGGGTCTCGATACCCCAGGTTTTTCTCGAACACTGACATGACATGGACTGGCTCACCTCACCTGTTTCCTTTTTTTTTTCCCTTCCTTCTTCTTTCTTCTTTTTTTCTCTCCCTACCTTGCTTTTCTGTCCAACTTAATTTTTTTGGTCACTCAGAACCACAGAGTTTCTCCCTTGACTTGACAGCCCATCCATTCATTATCTACATCCAGAGAAGTCACCAATAAGAAAAAGAAGAAACCATACTTTTCAACAACTTCCAACACCAACCCGCGGAAAAAACTCCACAACCTACCTAACTGCAGCCTTGAATAAATAAAAAAAGAGAAAAAGGTCCCAAGAGTTTCCAAAGAGGAAAAGATGTGCATCCGCGTCCTAACAATCTTCAAATGCGCCTGTCCCCACCGCAACACCCTCGTCTGTCCACACCACATCCACGTCCGCGAACCTTCATCAACCGGCGATCTCCAAACCTCCTCATCTCACCCAATTACTATCATTACCTCTACTAGCTCATCCTCCCCATTCGAATCCCCAGCAGAAAATACCACTACCACCAGCAGCACAGACGATGACGACTTCCAAAAAGGCTTCACTCCCCGCCTTCCCTCCGCCCTCCAAGGTCACAAGAACTGGACACCCCTTCCCGGAAAAGAGAATCAGCGGTGGGAACATTGTCCCGGCTACCTCGCAAAAAGCAGAGCGTTGGCGGTGGCGGTAGCCGGAGCGGGAGCGGGAGCGGGAACGTCGTCCTCGGGTGGTAGTGGTAGTAGCAATGGCAGTAGCAAAACAGGTGAGGGCACAGGGGTAATGGTTGGGAAGGAAACGCAGTGCGCAGAGTACAAAGCTACGGAACCAAAGTTTAGGAGGCGGTGGGAGGTTAAAAGTGGGTTGTGTGAGGAGTGTAGGGGGATGCATGGGATGCAGGGACCTGAGGCAGAAGATGGGCAAAGAAGGAAAGATGGAGTGAAGGAGAGGGGGGAGGAGCCTAAGGGTACGGTGAGGGGGGAGGAGAGGGGGAGGGCGAGGAGTAGAGCGGCTACAGACCCTACGGCGAATGCTGTACCGGTGCCGGCGATGGTGACTGGTGGGAAGGTGGTGAAGGGGGTGAGTGGGAAGGTGGTGGGGAGGAGGGCGGTGGGGAAGAGGATAGCTACTTTGTGAGCTGAGTCAGTGCTGGGTTTGGGAGGTTTCTTTTGGGAGATCGATATTAAAGTGGTTCGATTTTGCGGTACCTACAAGAGTCGATGTTGAAAAGGTCCCTCCACTTCCACCTACCAGGACTTCCAACCTGTCTGTATCTAGACACTATCCGCCAACTTACAAACCACTCCTCCCCTTCAACCCCGACACACCATACCTTTACACCGATAAACCCACCTTGAGCAAGTTCACAACTTCTCCTCCGATCCAGCAGCTCCATAGAAGCATCAAACGTCACAATCAGCGTCAGCCCAAACTTTGTACAGCTCCATCTGGCTCAAATCCCTTTTCAAACCAATCCTCGATCCGCCACCAAACGCAATCGACGCCGTCTCAAACAGCCTCATTCGTGCCTGATACTGACCATCGCTTTGTCCTTTCTCATGCATACCTCTAGGTTTGTAGAAATCAGGATTGACGACATCCATATCCTCACCAAAGATACTCTTATCACGCCGATGAATGTACGGGCTCATACCGATAAGGAAGCCACAGGGGATTACGGAGCTATCGGGCAGGACTATTGCGTTCCGTACCTATCATGGAGATGGCGGGATGGCAGCGAATGGTCTCGTGGATAAAGCGGGTGATAGAGTGAGGGGTTGATTCCGGAGACGCAGACTGCGGATTACAGTACAGCTTGCAACCAGATGCGCGGGTCTTTGAGGGGGTAGTAGAAGAGGGCGCGCATATTTCCAGTTATGGCGATTATGTCGGCGCCGGTAATATCTGGGAAGGGGCTGGTATCGTCCGGTTTGTGACAGGTAAATGGGAATTGCCAGGTAAAAGACAAACGGAAAAGAGAAACAAACTGTTCATGAGGAGGTACCTCTAAGCAATGATTTGCTTCGTGTCAACAATGTCCAGATGAGGGGACATGGATTCGATGGAAATATTGCAACCTCGAGCCTATCCTCCCGGGAGATTTCATCCTCGCGCTTTAAGCGGGCAGTTATTTTCTCGACGGCGACGTTAGTAACATTGGAGATTTTAGGAGGCCCAGGTGGCTGACTGAGTTCTTGTCCAACCAGTAGTCCATTCAGTGTATCTGGGCGCAGATACCGAGATACCTAGTCAATGGACTTATATCCGCGATGGCCAGCGTACCGTCGAAGTCACCGCCTTTTTACACGAAGCCTAAGGTGGCGATGCCGTGCAAGTCCGAGGAGTAGTACTCGCCGAACTCGCACTCCTTATGGGTATCAACGTAGCGTATCTGGAGATGGCCAAGGAAGCCGTTGTTGACCTTGTCCAGGAATGAGTGGCTCCATGGCTATTCCAGGACGGTGGGAACGGAGTCGTGACGGACTGAAGGGCGTACTCGGCGTTGTCGACTTTGCTGAACATATGGTAAATAATCTTACCATAGGTGATGCTGCTGAGATCACGGCAAATCGAGGCCGTTTACATCGGGGATCTCTTCTAATAGCATGGTTGTCCTGGTTTTCGACGTAGACGTAATAAAACAGGTCCAGCCATCATCGAGATCCTTGGGCGATGACCCAGTAGTCTAGGTGGTTCGTCGCAAAAGGCGATGAATTTGGATAATATACACACCTCTGCATGGTTATTAAAGGGCAAACTCGTGAATTGGGCGATCTCTGGGGGTAACCAAGTCTTTAACCATAGTCCCCAGGTGGCAGTCTGTACAGAAAATGGGGTATTAGATTATAGGAAAAACCCTGGTCTTATGTACAGCCACTAGCTCCTTGGCTGTACCGCGCTGTCCTTTCCCACTCGTGCCAAGGTGTGTTCAGCTAAAAGGTCTTGGTAGTGTCTCACCTTTTCTCCGAGGGGCGTTGTTCATTATTCCATTGTTGTCTTTGACTTCATCTACGGTGTAGTGTAGTAAATGGATCGTCAAAGACAAAAAGCCATGTTTGTGTCTTGGTAAGTGGTGGAAATTGGTGATGATGCATCAGCATGGTAAAAGTCTGCCAAGGCCCCTGATGCCAGGGGAGAGGGGATCTTGAAATCAGGGTGCCATCAGTCTTATCAGGGGCGAGCTGGGGGAAGAGTCTTCATTGTGAGACCAAAGAGGTTGACACTGGACACACAGATCTTCAACGAAACGAGGAATCTCTCCCCAAATTGCTACAGTACTGGTCGCGGAGACGTGTCCGTAGAGGTACGGAGTGTTGTTCCGGGTGGTGTCGTGCATCACCCTAAGCTATAGCTTGGCGTAGCAACGGGGAGTGTACACTAACTTCTCTCCATAGGGCTCGAGGCTCTGACTGGAGAAGCCACTAACACTGTAGCGAGATGTAGCGCTTTCTAGATGTTTGTGCACACCGATCGTATGTAGTTCCAAGCTTACTTTCGTGCCCCTTCTAGGCGATTCAATGTTGATGCTCGTGCTACATGTATTCGACACATGTATGCTTCGAGGTGACTGCTTTTCCAAACAGTACAAACTCTCCCAGCTCGCTCTTGTTAGCAACTGGTGAAAATATACGAGATGCATGGCCCATGGAAATATTCCCAAGACACTCACCCATTGGAGTTAGATCACAATGTGCCAGCAAGTCATGTTTTGGACCCTCACATGAATCGAATGTGACACCCTGGGGATACCCTTTCGTCAAGTGCCGATGGTGCCCCAAATGGTAGACAGAATACTCAAATAAACATCCCATCGAATCCGTCTGTAGCTGTCGGCTGGGATGAAACAAGGTAAGTTCCCATGCGCCGGCAGTGGATCCTCATGGGTCAGACAACCTTACTTTGACCTCTGTAGTCAATAACGATCATGGCAATTCCCGAGTTGCTCATGAACACAGTGTTGAGGTGTGGTCAAGCAAGAAAAGTCTCGAGGTCCCACACTCCATGTGTCTGAGCATCACACGTGGAGAGAGAGAGCCGCGGGCAGAGCTGCTGATCGTAGCCATGGGCAAACCTGACGGAGTTTCGGTCGGGATGACAGCCGATCATCTCTCCAGGAATCATAGGTCGGTCCCAAATCTTACCCACGACATCTCGATCTCATTTCTCCTATTAACAATTGAGTGTTGGTCAGAATCCTAGGCATGATCCTAGCGCAGATGGTATTTCCCTACCCGTTTGTAAAGACTATTTGAAGCCGACGATGGAACCTCAAAACTGGATCTTCTCGCCTCGGGTAATCCTCGCCTATGACATCCCCTTTCCGTCGTTTCAGCTGCTGACTTGTGCCACCTCCACAGGCATTCTTTACTACCCTAGGTCCCAGACCCTCGGTGTAGCATGGCTATGAGCGAGGATGCCTCAAGGGCGTTGGTCATCATGTGGGTGATTGTTGGGGTGGTCTTTGTCTTGGTAATCCTTCGTGTCTATACCCGGGTGGTCTACATGGCCGCCTATGGTGTTGACGACTGGATATATGTTGCCGCATTTGTGAGTTCAATCTGACACAAACGTGCATGAGGCAAAGTTAACCTTACCCCTATTTTATCCAGATCATTCTTTTCATTTATACCGTCCTCATTCAATATGCTGCCTTCTTTGGCTTCGGCCAAACCGAAAAAGAAATAGCAAACGCTACAAGGGCGTCAAAAGCTCGCCTGTTCGAATGCCTCGGACAAACCACGTCATTTATTGGCACGCCTCTCGCTAAAGCTTCACTTGGAGCGTTTCTTCTTCGACTGGTCACGGTGACGTGGCATCGGTTTGCTGTCTGGGGAGCAATGACATTGATGTTCTTGTCATCTGTTGGTATGTAAGCTCTCTTGTTCGAGTGGGACAAGATCCGCGAACAGTGTGCTAGAGTCCCAGACGACATTAACACGATTTTTCCCAACAGCACAGTTGCTATGTTTCTGGCTGTCTTGTCGTCCTTTCAACTACGTGTACAACAAAAATATCCGGGGAGTCTGCCCAGTTAATACACGGCCAACTTTCTATCTTCTCTATGGTGAGTGGTAGTGCGAGCTTGAAGATTCGGATAATGACTAACCTTTGGTAGGTTCAACCATCGCCACAGACTTCTTCTTTGCAATATTTCCATGGATCATCCTGTGGAGGCTTCAGATGCCCAGACAAGAGAAAATCACTATTGGCTGCAGTCTGAGCCTCGGACTAATGTCAGTATTCTTGATGTACCAACACGCTCAGTTCGAACTAAAATTGATGATGATCTAGTACCGCTGCGGCCGGTGTTAAACGAGTGACAGAAGTGGAAGGCCTGTATACATCAAATTATCTGAGTAAGGAAAGCCCTGTAACGACCCATCTATATAAAGCTAACAGTTCACTTTCACTTACAGAAACCACCCTTCCTCTCATTGTGTGGTCGGCCGCAGAGATGGCTATTACCCTGGTCTGCATCGGCATCCCCGTTTTGAGACCGCTATACAAGCGCATGTACTTGCGCTTTCGAAGGCAATCCGCACACTCGTCAGAATATCTCCAACAATTAGACCGCTCAAAGGAGCAACCAGGATTTGCACTGCAGACAATCGGCGGAGGGCCCCTTGATAAGGAGATGAGTAACTTGGAGCGAATGAACAGTACAAGACCAACAAGTGTCATGAACAACAACACTGATGACTTTCTGTACGAGCGATTCCGGATAGGGATTAACGAAGCGTCTAAGACGACGGTGATAGCTCAGCAGCGAAGGATTGACGACGAGGATTCAAAGATGGACGCACTCGACGATTATAGCTGTAGCCAACTTGAGCGCAGTACTGATAGCACGCGGAGGGCATTGGGAGATGAAGAGCTCGGTACGGCGAATAGTAACCAGCGGAGTCAAAACACCATTACCGTAACGCAAAGCTTTAGCGTTGATAGAAGTTGAGCATGTAGTACTTTATCTGTTCCCATGTAATTGTCAGTCGTTCAAAGTCGAGAAGAGCTCCGTTGCATTGAAGAAGCAAAGACACTAGTGTTGCGAAAGGCAAGGAAAACGGAAACAAAGGTAACCCAAGTGATGATATTGGATACAGTATTTATGACAAGGATATGTTGCCACACCAAACGCCGTATAAGCAAAGGGCTGGAACTGTCTAGCAGTCTCATAGGGGTATCATGGTCCGTGAAAATGCTCAAGTACAAAGTGCAGGAGGAGAAGCCAGAAAGTGAAACAGAGTGTCGTCTGAACCAAGACCATGAAAATGCCGCCTGCCATACACACCCACATAGAGTTTCCCTGCCCGCGGACCTCTGAAGCTGTCGTTTGACTTGCTTGCAGACGTTTGTCGTCCTCAATTGCTGTTCTCGGCGGCGTCGCACGCAGACCCCAAATCGGAGGATTGCTCGGGATTTCCGCGGTTCCTGACACCACTTCTTTTCTTTTTCTTCACCTCGCACTCATCGGCAAAGTCTTCCGGTATCAAACCCCTTCTTCGTTTTCCCAGGGGTTGCGTAGCTCCGACATCAAGCCATCTTGGCAGCATTGCCTCCTCTTGAAGCACCACGATGCCATTGATGATGACGAGCCCATGCGTGTGAGCTCCCTTGAACTGGTGGCGCACAGGGCAAGTTCCTCCATCATTGACCAGGTTACGTATTTGGATCTGGCGATCTTTACGTGTTCTTGTGTCAACAAAGGCATCTTGTCGCTCTAGACACGGCGGTCTGCGGCTAGACCTAAAAGGGCGAGAGCAGATGGACCGGGAAATTTGTCGATCTTGGCTTCCATCGTCATATCCATCTACTGCAGCGTTTCGTCCATATGTTCTTCGTCGGTTGGAAGAGCCACTGAGATATCTCGAGGGTATAAGGGTGTTTGTGTCGAGATTTTGATGGATTTGCTTGTGATAGTGGCGGGGGTAAGTTGACTCTGCTGATAATAGGCAATAAGGTACTGCATTCAGAGCGTTATTTGACGACAAGAACAGGCACTAACTATATGATTTCGAGTGAGTGTTTCGGAGATGGTCCAGACACTCCAGTGCCAGGATTGCTAGCTGGCCCAGACTCTCCGGACCCTGGGTGAAACGGACATGCGTAATCTGCCCAGAAGAGTCAAGAAGAGAGGTGGAGAGAAGTCTTGGTCGCATGATTCTCGAAACAGAAGACAGCTGAATCCAGGACTACTATCTTGCTCTGTGCTTCAGATACTCGGATGGAAAGCCCTGGGAAACAGTGTAGAAGACCGAGAGAATGGCAAAACGGGGTTCAATGGGGCACAATGGTAAGAGAGGTGAACATGTCAATTTCGTTCCAAAATAATCATGTAGCTGAGAAAGTGATGTATCAGCTGTTCTTGGGTCAGCATGTGGACGAGAGAGAGGATCGACTGCTTATAGCTGTTGCACTCGTCATCCTATGCCGGTTGATTGATGCCCCTGAAGGGTGCTACCATCTATGCAGCGTAAGGTTGGCCCATTGTATCGTTGGGTAAGTCGACCTCCATCAAGAGGCATGTTGGTACTGGGCTTCCGAGATTGACAGAAGATATTTGGTAACTACACTCCTTTAAACGGCCCGGGGACCTAGTCGGCGGTGTGGGGCTCCTTCCGTGTTAGTGGTCACCCAGGGCACTGTTGCCTGCTGTGCCTGGGAGCATGGAGTCCAGGCTGACGCAACAAGTGGAACCTATATAAGGTAGGGTGGTAAACCATCTGGTAGGGAGCAGGGAGATACGATGGGGTCATTGTAGATTGGAATTTCACTTCAAAACTCGACCAGTCTGGCAACATCGATGTTCCTCAAACAGAAGGAAGAGTACGTACTTAGGAGAGGGTACCACGATCGCCGTAGAGGTAGAGACAACCTCGGAAGCCGGCAATCAGGCGGGAACTTCTTGCCCCACCACAGCCCCGGCCGACTGGAGCACAGCCCAGCAAGGCGCAGGTCCACACATGCCGTACGTCTAGCCCCTAAAACTGAACCTTCCTTGTCACAACCCCGACTTATCAACAAAGGGACTTGGATTGTCTGCGCAATACTTCCAAGTTCATAACATCTGCGTAATATTCTCGCGGTTTCTGGCATCAATTCCATCTCCACGTAGAATGATGGGATTGCTGGGAGTGATGAGTCGACTTGGGATCTGAAGGCAGCTCCACTACCTTTTAAGCTTAAATGTGTTTGATGCTTAACATCATCCGATCCATCATCACCAGGGACACTCAAACTGAAATCGGTCGGCCTCGTCAACTTTTTTGTGTTGATCTTAGTATCAGTGCTGGTGAGGATAGCACAACCTTCTCTGACGCCGACCAACAGATCATTATCCAGCCAGCTTGCCGATACCCGATTCCAAGATAAACAAGTACACTAGCCAAGCGAATTACCCCAAAATTCCGAGCTTGTGTAGGCTTGGTATTCCAATGATATGTGTTTACAGCTCAACATCATCATCATGATTGCTCGGCGGGTGGCGACACATCAGGGCAGTGTGTACCACCCACAACCATTCAGGCATTTCGCTCTACGTCATGGGGCCAGACCCTTTCAATGCGGTCATGGCTGTCAAAGAAGCAAGCCAACACGCCTCGATCGAAGTGAATAAAATGACATGACCCAACTCGCATCAATAGGTTTCATCTAATTTAGTTATTCCAATCACATCAAGCTCGCTCTCAATCAACCAACTTGAGCGATCCTCCATCACAAACGAGGTCAAAGTACACCGACCTGAACTCCTTAGCAAGGAGACCAACAACGCCAAAATGGCACCAACACCAACGGCCCTCGTGGCCAAGTCCCTCTCTTCCGGCAGCGAAACGCTTGCCAACCTCGTCCCCCGCTACATCCACCGTCATCGTCGTCTCTCGCGCGGCGGCCTCATCGGCGTAATCGTCGCCATCGTCGTCGCATTGATCATCCTCGCCTTCTTCAGCTTCTTTTGTCGCAGAAGGAGAATTCGCCGGTCACGACTTCACATGCACCAGAACATGCAAGAGACGGCAGCTGCTCCTGGAGGATGGGCTCATTCATCCCACCATCATCAACCACCGCCGCCGCCGCCGCAGAATCCGAACGGACTGAATGCTTCTGGTGGAGGATGGGCACAGCCTGGGACTTATCAGCCGCCGCCGTATCAGCCGGATCCAGTTTACACCAAGCCGGGTGGGAACTACCAGTAATTTGTCATTGGGTAGTTACAGGATCAATGGTTTTCCTGGTGTTATTTGTTGGTACAGGATGCTTAGAGATATTGGAGTTGGGATTATGATTTACGATCAGATGTCGGAATGGGCGAAAACATGAGCAACGCACTCTTGGGACGTGGGGTACATTCTTCTTTTATCTTCTTTGAAGCTTCCAACGAAGGAGGCTCCTGTAACATTTTATACATGTATATTGTGTCGACATGCTCTCATGTCATATTTTTTGAATATTTACCCATGTCATCTGCTCTTAAGAGACGACCCTAACCCTTGACCGTGTAAGTGATAACAAGTTTGTTGTGAAGGTATTCCCAAATCACATTACGGATTCCTGGATTGGAAACCAGTGATCAAAGTAATGCGTCTTTCCATCCAAAGCCATTTCGTTTCCGACCTGGGCATTCAATCACAGGGCGCCCAAGTTGTTAGCAAGACCACATGTCTGCACTATGAGGTAGACCAAGCCATGATATGCAAGGTACGTCGCATTGGTAGGGTGGAAACGACTCTGCCATGCCTGCGCATCACTCTGGACATTGGGCAATGCCTAGCAAGCTAACGGATTGAACGCCCAGGAGCGCCATTTCCACAATTGCAGCCGTTTATCCTACTTTCTATCAACTTGATTTTGCAACATGCTGTCATAACCCTATCAATGAAATTATTTGGATCGTGGCATCGATTTCAAAATAGCAGGATTCCGTACAACATTCAACATTAATCCGCTTTCCGGATCGCCCCCCGGAAAACCCTTTGACTCAGCTTTTCCCCAAGCCTCGAACCCGATGCCGTTATACCCGCTATTCTGTCTTGGCCGCTCACGGTCCCGGCCCTTCGAATGGCCTCAGCCCCCTCCCAAAATGGGAGTCACTTGATCTCCAAACGTCGGCCCAATGACTTGCCGATGAGTACGGGCTAGAGCCCAATACTATCTGGTTGAAGGCGACCATTGAAAGAGGCAGTGTTCTTTTGTGTTCCTGAATGCGCAGACGTGTTACTACCAAATAATACCACCTGCTTGCTGCGTGACCGTTCCTGGCGACGGGACGCAGCCGAAAGGGGCAACTGTCAACGTATCTGTGCCAAGCATAAAAGGGTGTGATGCCCCTTCCTTTTGAGTGTCTTGTGTGATACAAGAAATTATCAGTTGTGTGGACTTTTTCAATTCACTCAGGAAGACCAATGGCCCGAGTATTCGGAGTTCATCATCACCCACCTTGACAACGCAAGTTAACAAACAACACATCAATCGAGCAGTCAGTCTCATCAAGAAAACAGCAACTGAAAAATACCTGACATCATCGCCACCATACATTCAACAAGAGGGGGTTTGACAAAACTACAAACCACCACCCAAATGGCACCAACCTCTTCTACCACGGGCCTCATCCTCCCCCGTGATGCCTGCCAGTCCCGCTACGGCTGCGGCACCATCCACTCCGACAAGCTCCCGCTTCTCATCACCGTGGCCGTCGTCGTCGCCATCATCATAGTCACCATCTATTGGTGCAGCTTCCGGTCATTGAGGGCTCAGAAACGAAAGCGGAGAATCAAGAACACAGAATTGCCTTCAAGCACTGCACCTCATGCAGTCCGGGAGGTACCCACACCGACGACATTGGGAGCGGGGCCAACGGGTGCGGGTACAGGTGCGGGTGGAAGTGGAGCCACCGAAACCGGGGCAGTAGCGGCGGCAACGGCGACGGCGGGAGAGGCAGGAGAGACAGGAGGAACGACATGGCAGGTTCCGACAAGCGGGCTTAATCCTCTAGTACCGCCGCCAATGTACGAGGAGACGCCGCTGCCACCGCCTACTTATCAGAGGGATGCCCAGGCGCCGAGGTATGCGTGATGGATGATCATGGGCTTATAATTTCTGTGCCTTCGGGGTGCCAACGGCAGTATAGAAGGGCTTGATTCAATCGGGGGTAGTAATGGTGATGATGATGCATGTCCTACAGTTTGTGGACCTGGTGGGAGTTAATGTTTGGACGATTCAATGTTTCGATGTAATAATCAGTATACACTACAGTTAGTAGACAGATACCCCAAGAGATACCCCTTGATGCCTCTACACTACTGATCTATATCTCCATCGACAAAATCTCAACAACACCTCATGTCTCCTCCCTTGTGGTTCGATCTTGAAGCCATCACGGTGGGGATGGTCTAGGCAGGCGGCAGCGCGCGGGGATATTCCTAGCGCAAGTATGCTTGAGACACAGTGGAACTTTAGGGCCGGTGTCCCGAATTGTGACGACTTACCGAAAATTCCTACTGCAGCGATTCCTGTTCAGCCCGTTCCTGAATCAAGCACAGGCCATGTGCTCACCGTGATGCTGTTTTGGGAGGGAGCTCCAGGTTCCATCTCGAAAGGCAAACTCGCGCCGAGACCAACGACCAACGGAAATGGATCTAACCTCTTTGGAGCGTCTGCCTGCTGCAGCCTACGCTAGAAATACAAAATGCTACCCTCAAATCTCAAATTGTCCGAAGCCACACAAATTCTCACCGTCCTGGTTCTCGACTCTGTCTTTGTTTCCCCTGTTCAAAATTTCACTGGACGGCACGGTGGGTGATTATTTTGGATCTTTTGTTTGTTCTCTCATTAATAGTCTGCTTGTTCTTTGTTGCTGTTGCTGTCTTGTGTTGAAGCTCTACGATACATACTTTGCGGAATTCAGCAGTTGCACCGCCGACAGTCGAATCCAGGATAGCGACATGAACTGATTCGGCGACCTATTCTTTAATCATAATTCACTCACGCGTCATACCCACCGAAGCAACAGGAAATGGCGCCTTACGCTCTTTTTCGTCAACTGTGGCCTGCCGCGCTCTGTCTTGTTGAGGTTGCCAGTGCCGCCGATGGCTATGTTCACCTACCCTTCTCGCGCCCCGAGCTGAAGGATCTGGACTTGGGAAAGAACGGTTCGAGGACACTATCCGACTTTGTCGTCCCCTACCTTGTCCAAGCCCAGGTCGGCACTCCTCCTCAGAACTTCTCGCTCCTCATTTCGCCAACCTCGACCGACACCTGGGTGGTTGACGCTACCACCTCGCGTTGCGACTATCAGTACTCTTCGTACTATTGGGATGAGGATGAGGTTGAAACCGCCCGGGCTCTTGATGTTCAGAAATGTGTCTGGGGAAGCTTCAACAAGTCTCAGTCATCGACTTACCGAACCGCGAACCCGCGACACACCGATTTTGCCACATACACCTTTTCTGGTTATGCTCAGGGTAGCAACTTCACCGACAAGCTCGTCGTCGGCGACCTCACCGTCGATAACTACCCGATGGGCCTAGTTGACCAAACCAACTTGTGGATGGGGGTGCTGGGTCTTGGGTACAACTACTCCACCATTTACGGTGAATCCTCCCTCTACGGCGCCAACCTCCCGGGCTACTACCCCACCATTCTCGACCGCATGGTCTCCTCCGGCCAGATTTCCACCCCGGCCTACAGCATCTGGCTCGATGATGAAGACGGCACCTCCGGCGGTCTTCTCTTGGGCGCCGTCGACAAGTCTCGCTACAAAGGCGATCTCCTCCGCCTTGACGCCAACAACCCGCGCGCCCTAACCGGCAAGTTCTCGGTAACCGTCCACTCCATCAACGCCACGGGGCTCGGTACCGGCGGCGATGGCTCCCAGCAGCCCCTAATATCCAACGCCCTCCCCCTAGACGTCACCATCGGCATGGGCGAGCTCATCTCCTTCCTCCCTAATGACCTGGTCAGCAACATCGCCTCTCTTACCGGAGCCACACACGACACTACCGCCGGCATTTACACCATCCCCTGCGCTGCCGGCACCTTCGACAACGCGACACTCTTCGCCTTCACGCTCGGCGGCGAAGGGGGCCCACTTCTACAAGCGGCAACTGCCGATTTGATCATTCACCCGGGCGTCTTCACGGGCCAGGTCTCCAGCTTCGACTCGACAAACTCTGGTTCATCCTCTTCATCCATCAGTCTCGACCTCCCCGAAGGCACCTGCGTCTTTGGCATCCAAACCTGGAACGACGCCAGCACGCTCAACGGCGTCAGCTATGGTAGTAGCAGTGCCAGCAGTAGCAATCCCTACTACAACCTAGGAAACTCCCTCCTCCGCCGCACTTACTTGGTCTTTGATCTCGCCCGGCAGGAAATCGCCTTTGCCCCCGCCGTCTTCCAGTCCACTTCCTTATTATCCGCCAGAGCCTCGACCTTCGACGACACCGACAACATCATCACCTTCACCCAATACGGCTCTCCCACTCCGGAATCTCAATACTTCTGCTCCGACTATGAATACTACTGCCCCGAGGACGCCGTCAACTCGAACTCTGGAGGACGGTCTACCCACGGGGGCGCGTCGTCGTCGGACGACGGTGATTATTACGATGGAAGGAGGTATTGGAGGATTGTCTGCATTGTGCTGGGAGTCGTCTTTGGGACTCTGATTCTGGTCGGGCTTGTGTTTGCTGGGCTCTTGTTTAAGAGGGTGTTGGATAAGGATCCGAGGACGATGGGGTTGCCGGAGGAGAAGAAGAAGCTAATGGATGGGGGAGAAGGGGGTGATGATGAGCTGCAGCCGTTGGAAGGTGGTGGGCAGGGGATGATGAGTCCTGCTGCTGCTGCTGGTGGTGCTAGCTCGGGTGGGGCGGGGGTTTTGCCTATGATTCACGAGGGAAGAGAGGATGACGCTGGTTCCGATTTGCCGACGAGGGAGCATGAAGCATCAGGTTCGGCTCAGACTCAGCCCCAGGTTTCTCCGGTAAATGTGAATCGCGAACAGAGGTTGTCGGCGCCGGAGTCTCTAATGGATGCGCCGAGGTCTCCGAGCCCGCTTTCGGAGGATGGTATGGGCGGCGCGAGAGCGGAAGCTGCTTCGCCGGTGTCGGAGAGAGTCAATACTCCCCCGAATGAAGCCAAGGGGAAGGGGAAGGCGGTTGCTGAAGTTATTGGACAGGCAAGGTGAACTGGTATTCTGATGGACTATGTGAATATGGTATAAGGAGTGTATGAATGAAGGTAATGGTTGTTATTGGATAATCAAAAGAAAAGTAATCGAGATACCCTGAATGTTTTGCACCATGGTGTTGCTTTTGCATTGGTCTATGGTGTGTACCCTGAACAGGCGCTAATGTGGTTGGGTCGTGTAATGATCGCATGGGATCTGTCTCATGCCTCTCCGTCGCTCAGACTGAGACACTGGTCTCGGAGTTCTTAAATCGATCGCATGCAGGCACTTCAAGGTCCACTTCTATCTGATATCCGGGCCTGGGCCTTCCTTGTCGCCAAGTAATCCAGCATAGACCCACCTGGACCCTTCTTGCATCACCTCAAATCATGGAGATTGAATGCATTCAGCACATGACATCGCTCACAACGGTTCAACACGGTTCAGAAAAAAACACGTTTTCCTGCAAGAAATGACATGCGTAGGTAGGGTCCATGGACCATCCATGGTTGTTGTTGTTGTTGTTGTTGTTGTTGTTGTTGTCGATCCCCATGTTATTGTTTGGTATGTAGTGTACGGTAGGTATGTGAACTTGGGTAAGTTGTGTATAGTGTAGGACAAAAGCAGCCGCTGACGTCATTGGGGATATCGTCGTCACTTTTGTGTGTGTTATTGGATCAAATGCGTGTAAGTGAAGTGTGACACGAGGTCCCAACCAAACGAGCGGGACAATAACAGGTAAAGAAAATCAAACTTGTGGAATATCGTTCGTCATTGTGAGCTCTCGCTCGTAGGAATGATACCAAGTATTTATTTATTTAAACTGCCGGAATCCCCCTTTCCCTTGTGTGGTTGCACTTGTTTTGTTTTTGTTTTGTCTTGAACACCGACACCGTACACACACCACGAAACCCATTACGATACCAACAACCAATAACCTAGGTAGCTGCATACTACCCAACAACACCTACACTAATCTAATTAAAACCAACAAAGACAAAGATAAAAAAAATGGCCATCTCAACAGCCATCACCTCCCTCCTAACCTCCATCACCGAACTGATCCAATCCCTCTTCCACGGCATCTACTCCATCTTCCACACCATCTTCTCCGCTTTCTTCAGCCTTTTCTTTGGCCTGTTCGCCTTTGTCGGTGACTTGCTCAAAGGGGTTGCCAACACGTTGGGCGGCGTGGGCAATTTTGTTGCTAGTGAGTTCTTCACTTCCCTCCCCCAATCCACCCTCTTCTTTTCTTTTTTCTTTTTTTTTCTATTTGTTTTATTCTTATCCCTTCGGTTGGTTTCTACTTTGTTTGTTTGTTTGTTTGTATACCTTGCCTCGTGATATCCGCCTGTGACGAGAGGTGGCGGGGGAAGAATCACGCCAGTGGAAATCGAGCGCAGCGAGCGAAGGGGAAAAAGAAAAGGAAGAAGAAAGAAAATATCAAGGTCAATGCTGACAGAGACCAAAAAACGCAGGCAACTTCCTCATCATTGCTCTCATTTCTGCCGCTGGTTTTGCCTACGTTCGCTACACCAGCCAAGGAGGCACGACTTCGGGACAAAAGGCGGCGAGTGTGGGCAGGAAGAAGGTCAATTAAGTTCAGATAGGGACAAAATTTGGAAGCTAGATTGCCGAATATGGGCCGATGACGAGTTTTGCTTCAGGACAGCGAGGAGACGGTTACGTGGCGCGCTGTGTGGGAACATAATGACATATTTTGACTTGAAGTACGAGTAAGGAAGCTGAGAGCGATATGAATAATGAATGGATAGGATACCCCCCGGACAGGTTCTTGGATGGTTTACGAATAGTTATTCGAACTGTATTCTTGGAGAGGAGTTACGGATTGAGTTGCCTGGAGTCTTTGAGAGGATAACACAACGACTTTGTCACTACTTCCTTCAAATTTCACCAAGTTCACTTGTATGATCGTATCAAAAGAACCGTTGATATGGGCAAACTGATTAAGTGGAGTTCGAGCTCACTAAATTGCCATGCTAACCAAAATACTAGGTATCATCCACCACCATTCCGTACCACTTCCGTCACCCATCCAAAGTAAGCCAGTACGCCGTCTATCCAGATCAGTACCTTGGGTCCGTGTGTGTTGTGTTCCCTTGCCTTTGAATGCCCGAAAAGATAGAATGGGGATCGAACCCATCCATGTGCCCAAAGATTAAACAAGTAAAGAACCCAAACAACCGCAATCGCTCTCCTCTAATGCATGCCCGCGCTCAAATGCAGTCTAGGCCTTATCACCAGGCCTCCTTCTGACTCTCCACCGCACTCTCATACTCCTCCTCACCCTTGCCCTTCTGCACAATAACCGAATACCTCCTCTGCTTATGCTTTCCCTTCTTCCTCTCCTCCTCACTATCGCCCTCATACGCATCTTCTCCTTCACCCTCCTTCCTGATTCTCGCACCACCAGCATTGGCCTGAGCGTTATCGAGATCGACTCCACCCTTCTCACCCATACCGCCTTCCTCAAGCTCGCCGCCCTCCATGACGATGCGCAGCTCGAGATCCTCGTCCTTGGAGTACACCCGAAGACCGACGACGCAGATAGCATTCCACGGATCCGGCTCGTTTTCGTCCTCGGTATCGTCCTTGTACTTGCTGACCATGACGCTTCCGGGAGCGGGAGCTGCGTTCATGCGCGGCTTGCGTGTCATGTCGTCGGAGCTATAGAGCTCTTCCCAGTCTTCGATGGGGGAGGCGCTCGACTCACCATCCGAAGTGACGTACATGTTGGGTGACTTCTTCTTAGGTGGGCTGCTCTTAGCGGCGGGCTTGTCCTCGGACTTCTTCTCAGCAGCAGCAGCAGGAGGTCCACCAGATACCTTGGAGTCGGTAGCAGGAGGGACAGGGACCTTCTTGTTTTTCTCATCTGCAGCGTCGGCTACGGAGTTATCAGTCTTGGGAGTGTAGGAAGGACCGCTAGAGGCTTCAGAGCTGCCCGATGAAGGAACATTGCCTTCTTGGTCGGCCTTGTTATCAGACTTCTCTTCAGCCTTGGTCACAGCGCTCACGCCACCGGAAGCTTGACTCTCGGTCTTCTCGACCGCTGGTGTCTCGGCAGGCGTGGCAAGAGGTGTGCCTTGAGGACTTCCGTTAGCCTCGGCAGCCTTGACGTCTTGCTTCTCAGTATCAGAGCCCGACTCGGTCTTCTTGGCTTGTTCCACGGGCTTTGTTTCATCGGCCTTCTTCTCCTCTGGCTTCTCCTGGTTCTTGGTCTCCTCAGTCTGAACACCGACATCCTTTGGCTTCAGTTCTTCCTCCCGACGCTTCTTCTCCTCGCGCGCAGCTTGCTTGGCCTCGAGCTTCTGGTTGTTCTTGCGACCCTGCTTCTTGGTGATCTGGCGGTTGAGGTGACGCTTTTCCCACAAACGATAACGCTCCTTCTGACGAGCATCGCTAGCCTTCTTCTGGTCGGCCTTCTTCCGAAGGGCCTTCACAGCTTCCAGATGGGCGGCAGCCTTGCTGTGGGCAAGATCGTAGGCATATCCGACTTGGGCGAGCTTCTCGTTCTCGACACGCTTCTTACATTCCCGCTTCACCACATCCTCGATGCTGGGCTGGTTGGTGTTGCGCTCTCCGATGATGCTGATGAAGACACTATAGTTGCCAGGTAACATGGAGGGCAGCTCAATAGATACTGACCGGTCCATCAAATAGTTACCATGGCTACGGACAATGTAGTCTTCAGCGTTGGGCCTGTGTTGTTCGTGGACACGGAAGTGTAGACGGAAGGAGTATTGACCATGGAGACCCTTGAAGTACCGGTTGTCGAGCTGACTGAGGACCAATACCAAGGGCGACTCACGAGTCAGCTTGAAGTGGAATTTCTCGTTGTACTGAGGCTTCCATGGCACCTCCACACCGATCCATCTCTGACAGCAGCGCCAGTCAGGGTCGCGGAACAGACGAGTACGGTCAAAGTGCTGGTACTTGCGCAACAGATCTTCGTAGGAAATCCAGAAGACGCTGTCACTGCCGAACTGGTGACCGAGCTCTTCCTGGACATCGGTGGTCCACTCCTTCGAACCGTCCGACCACGCGCCTTCCCAAATTCCCTTTTTGGTTTTACCCCAGGGATTCCTAAGCTTGACGAGGCGTGTGCCGCCTTTCAATGTCTTTGCTTCCATGACGACGTAGGCATGCCCTTCGGAAATGCCTTCACGCTCGCCATAACCGCCGTCAAGCAAGCCTGTGCTGCAACCGAACAGGAACTCATCATTAACCCTGCTGAGTTCGTTTTCCCAGAACCCGTCAAGGTCGAGGATGTCGGAAGCCAGCAGCTCAGTTGTGACACCGCCAGAAAGATCTTCCAAACCCTCGCCAATCCATCCTCCGGACAGGGAAGCATAGTCGCCATGAGCCTTGGCATATGCCTTCTCGATCAGAGGCACCCAGGTCTCGTTCTGGTCCTTGCATTGGCCAAAAAAGAGGGCCTTGGAGCCGGTCTGATAAGTTTGACGATACACCCGTTCGACATCTTCACGATCGATTTGCTGTAGCAAGTTACGCTGCATGCTTGGTGAATCCCAGCAAGGCGACTTGAGGTACAACTTGTCATCGATAATTGAGTAGATCCACTCGCCATCTGCAGAAGTGTTAGCGAGATCGCTTCGATTGCAGAAATGGTGGTAGCGGCATACCTCTGTAAAAGACAAATCCGTAAATGCCGATCCGGGTGTCGTATTCGACGCATATCCGTTGGATACCGTCCTTAACGTTGGCAAGGCCAGACAAGCTAGCAATCAGCCAGCAGTCTCCCAAGCTGCCCTGCTTGACGTCCGAGCCCTCAATCTTGGCCATGAATGTAGGCTTCTCGTAGATCTCGTGTACACGCTTTACTGCCTTGGGCACGGTAGAGTTGGGATTTTGCAATGTAGACGCGCTCAAATCAAACTTGGTTCGGCCCAAGCTGTTTAGGCAGTGGCCCTTTTCCATCTTAAGATCCCAGTCCTGTAGGAAGGTCACTTGTCAGCCAAATTTCAAGGGGAAGGTATTTAACCAGAGTAACTCACCAAGTCCCAGCCGGGATCCCGATACCGTGTGTTTACCCTCTTGCATTCTTGAATAATCTTTCTGACTTTTCTTCGGCATTCTTCAGCAGCTCGCTCGTACCCCTCATTGAGCAGTTCATTAGACCGGTCGGAGATGGTGGGCGGCAAGACAGGATCGAATGGCAAGATTGCCAAAGCCTTGTGGAACCTTTTGCTGCTGAAACGTTTCCAAATTCGGTTTATGGATTGTTGAGGAGGCAGCTTGAGCTTCTTTTTCTGTTTCTTGGTGGCTTCGCTGGAGTTAGCGGGGACCGGAATCTTCCCCTTGTTCCGACGATAGCTGTATTCCTCGTCCGACTCGGAGGACGACGAGTAGCCGTGCATGATGGGCAACTAAGTCTAACTGGACCTCGATCGGATGGAGATATCGTATCCGGATGGAGGTTCAGATAGCGAGAAGCGAGGGTAAGAGGAGGAAACGCCGCCGGGGCGTGCTGACGTGGTAAAAGGTTATATGGTTGGACCGAAACACACCCAACTATCAAACGAAGGTTTGATATATGTTGGGCCAGCGAGTAAGACAGCTTGGATAACCCGCAGCAATAAATGGTTCCTCGTCCCAACAAAGAAACAGGAAATGGAACAGGGAGATTTATAGCCCCAAGGTGAGGCCCAAAGTGTGTAAGGGTCCACGAGAGTCCGGGAGAGCGGCAGGCGACCGAGACGCGACAAGCAGGGGGACACGAGCCCCCGGTATGTTGGGGTCCTGGGCTCGAGCTGCGAAGAACGGATGGGCGGTGGCGGATGATAGGTAGGGTAAGCGTTCTAGAAGCGATCGACTGACTCTCGTCGATCACTTGGCTGCGATAAGGGTCCTCGAGGGTGTTTCGAGGGGTCCAACTGGAGGGCCGACGGGATACCTCGCTGTAACAATGAAAGACACACAGACAACAAAGACTATCCACGAACCTTTTGCCGCGTTGCTGAAGCTTACACTATCAGCCATACACCGAAGCTGGGTGTCCCTCGTTGGAAACACAAAAAGTCGAGACGACAGACGTCTAGGAAAAGGCCAGTGAGATGGGCAACCAGGACGACGATGGCCGTCGGTCATCAACGTCATAATATATATCTCGCGATTCCCGCAGCACCGCAACTGGCTGAAGGTACAAAGAGGTTGACCACGTCGCGTGTTCGAGCGAGACAGGAACTATCTAACCACAGACTAGCCGTTGGGCCATCACCTACACTACTGTGGTGTGTACAAGCTGACAAGCCAGCACTGCATGACTGCTCTCTCGCAGGCCACAAGCCATCAAGGCAAGCACCACAGAGGTGCAGGGGACAAGACCCTTAAGGCCCAGTCAAGACCGACCAGGCCGTTGGAAAAGGCGCCATTCGGAGGTATCGAAGATGACGAGCTGCGAGCGGGACGTGGTGGAGGTGGTGGAGGCGGTGGTTTTTGGTAGATCCCTTTTTGGTGTTTGGGCCTTTGGTGATTGACCATGATTGGCTGCCAATATCGCAGGACGTTGAGGTCCTGGACCGTGTGAAGGCGCACGGTATCCTCTTGTGGTGTGGTGCACTCTCTGAGTGACTTTAAGGGTTGATAGAGCTGGACCGAAGTCGAGGCCTCGCGATATTGGGCAAACCGCGCCATAGTGACGGTGTACACCGTAAGCAGTGTCACCTATCAAACTGTCCATGGCCGAGTCCACAGATAGTAAAGAGAGAAAGAAGCGCCTAGCCGGCCGGTGAACATGTTGACTGGCTGATGATGTCGTCCTCGTCGCCGGCCATCATCATCTCCCTCCTGTGCTGTGCTCATGCTGTCTGTGCCTTTCCACTTCCGCTTCCCCATACCGTCCCAGTGCTCATGATGCCGCTCGCGTATCGTGAGGGGGGGATGGCGAATCCCTGATCTGCCCAGATGGTGATGGCAACAGAAAGGGCAATGATTTCGGTCGGTCGGTGCGGTTGACCGAAAGGCGATGCGGGCAATGGGACAAGGGAACGATGACCTGGACGAGGAGATGGAAAATCGGGGAGAGTGGAGGTGTCGGCGTGGCACTGACGGGACGAGCGGGGGTCCGGGCAATCCCAAAGCCCCAATGGCCCCCGCCGTTTCAGTGGAGTTTCGATGGAGGCACCCGAGACCCGCACTGAACATCACCACTGCAGTAGATCAACGGGCACCAGTATACTTACCTTTGGAATGGATGGAATACCTCGAATAGGCAGAGAACTGCTTGGTTTTGAAATGTCTGCCTCACACAAAGCTTCTTTTTTTGCCGGATCCATGAGCACAATAAGTTGGGGAGAGGTACCTCTTGGACGGTGCAGTGAGTGGAGAGAGGTACACCCCCCAAGCTACCTACCACTTGTTGTATTAACAAATTTTGCATTGCATTAATGATGACCTCCCCGACTTCTCTTTCTGTTTCTAAACTGCAGTTCACGTCTGATGTTCCAAGTGTTCTTGCGTAACCCCAAAGCCGATCAAATCTATTCAGAATAGTGATTGGTTATTGCCTTGGTCACTCGACCGGTGTTGTCGTCTCGGAACTTGCGGAACTTGCGGAACTTCACTTGGGTGGAAACTGTAATGATTTCAAAGCGATATTCGCCTCCTTCACCATCAGCCACCAGCACGAGCAGAACTCGAAACACGACCGTAGCTCCGGAGAAGAAATGCATCATGATGTTTATTCTGGTGGAGTTAAAGAGGCGACAACGGGGACTTGGCTCGAAAGCTGTCCAAGGTTCATCCATTCACCTCATCTTTCCATTGCCGAGGACAGAGCCATCCAGTACACCAACTCACAAAGGCGCCTCCGTCCAGCATCAAGTGGAAAATTGCATGAATTTCATTCAGGAAGTCGGGTTGACCAACAGAAAGGAAGGCTGCACCGAGGAAAGAGGCAAGAGCGAGGCAGCAACTACTCCACAGAGACTGGGCTTTGGGCGGGGAAGAAACTCGAGAGTAGACTGAGAGGAGGTACCGACCTGGCGACTGCCGGCATCCCTCAAGTCTCTACTGCCTCTTTCCGTGACGAGGAAGTTGAATATCGCTTTCCTTCCTCTTCTTTTCGGGCTATTCCGTCCCCCCTCGATTTCCACTTGACAAAAGCCCCAAGTCCATGGAATCGAAAGTTCACGAAACTCGAAAATCTCTTCTCTGCTGACTCACGTCCCAGCCTCGTTGACACACAGACATCATTTTTGGTCTCATTCTCTCGCACCCTTTTCCTACCAACATTGCCAAAATGCGAACCCCATACAACGGGGCGACCCCAACAACCATAGGTGGTCCGCCTCAAGTCTAGTCGCCAACCCCATAAACCGTACCCATGTTCATAATGATGCCCACACTCACACCCGATGTCCCGGTCGGGCTAGCGTGTCGTCAACAACCCTGTCTCTCCAAATATCAACTCGCGCTATGTATAACTGAATGCATTGCATACTTGCTTCATTGCCCTCTTATCGGCATCTTTGCTCTTGTACGGCTGGGGCCTAGTTTGGCCATTAAAGCTGCTTTTGTATCACACTGCTCAAGGGTTTCTGTCAGACGCCTTCACATTGCCCTGTTGTACAACAACACAGAACATGGCCAGGTCAAGGTATCGAGCCTATCTTCATGTTGTTACCCGACCGATGGCACCGTATCCAACTCCCTTCCTCGCTCGTCCCACCAACAGTGATAGGTATGTAACAACGTGGAAGCCGAAGCCGGCCTCTCCAAGACCCTTATCCTCCAATGGTAGTTCCCCAGTTATTTGATGATGATCCAAGGTCACTTTTAATACTCCTTCATGCCGCTTGATTGGTTCGTTGATCAAAAAAGAAAGTGTTTCCGGTCCTACCATTCAATGACACCCTCCTTTATGCTGTCGTGGAAAAAGTGTGGGTGTGCTTGCGACACAAAGCGATGATCAGGGTCCTTGGAAGGGTCCAAGAGAGGGAGGCTGGGTTCCGAATTGGCACATTGACACGCCCACGACATTTTGTGCCAAACATGACTGCTGCCCCACATCTACTCATACCCAGCAACACTTACCCTCCTCATACATACATGTTATATCTCTAGTGTACCTCCCTCATATCTTCCCATTCGACCCATCAGCACCCGCAGCAACAATAAAAGCATCCTGTCTCCGCGGTAGAGTCTAGTGGAATGCCCTTGTCTGTCGCTATCATTGACTTCTTTTTTCCAGATTCACATGTTCTCAAGCGAGGATCAGTCATACAGCGATTTCCATGTACAACGAGCTTGGTGTACAGCAGACGGGGCCGTTACATCATCCCCAATACCTACAATCAGAGCTGCTGTGGAACAAGAGAAATTATATTTTTGGGTAACGAGACACAAAAAGGCCAGGCTTAAGTTAACAACTGTTGGTGCTATGCATTGGCAATAATCATGATGGACCTTTGGATGGTTGCAAGTGCATTTCCCATTTCGATAGCAATAAGCCAACCCGTTCAACTTTACAAACCAACAGATATCTACATACATACACCCGGTGCGTACGGTTTCAGTTCCCTTCCAGTCCTTCGCAGTGGAAATCGAGGGCAGACGGACGTGCATGGTGTCTGTCTGATCGCTCAGCCGCATGAGCTATGATAATAGGGCAACAACGCTGGCTCCTGTACATTTTCGTATGCTTCCTGACCAGTATCACCTTAGGCCTCACACCGCCGAACGCCCTCTATCACGTCGCCACCCGTGGGTCTTCCCGATCAGTTCCAGGTGCGCCCCTTCCGTGATTCTCGGCTTGCCTCTGGTACCGGACATAATTACACTACCTAGAGGTTAGTACTGTTCACACAAATAGGTGTCCGGGTTTGGCACCCAGAGTTGTTAGTGACGTGCTCGGGCTGCTACTCTGCCAAGCCTGCCCCTTATTCTTGCATCACCACATAGTTTCGTGCGTACCGGTTGCAACACGTTCATCCATTTTGTAAACTGGCAAGTCTTTGGTATCATGATTCGACGTGTCCTTGGTTTCACCGCTTCTATAGGCTGACTTGCTCGTGTTCCTACCCCGTCGTCGGATAAACTGAACCCCTTTCCGAGTTCTGAGCAGACAGCAACTCCCAATTAAACTCGAATTGCTCCTTCATGGACGTATGAACATCACCCTCTCAAGTGTCATTCATAACATCATTCTGAAAGGCACGGCGTCCTTCTCTGGCCCTTGCCACGGGGTGTCTTCTGGTGCAACCCACTCCCGTTCCCGATCCAAGATCTCGACCATGTGAAAGTCACGGGCGCCGGGACCCCATCGAACGACCTGGTACAGAAAGTGGTTGACTTCTACAAAGTCAAGGCTCGGTTGCACCTCGAAAAAGTCTTCTGCAAGAGCCGCCATCTTTTCGAAATACTTTTGGCGCTCTAGAACCTCCAACGAGAGGCAGAGTGGAGGATAGTACTCTGCCAGGTGAAAATGGAAATATTTGAGCTTCCGAAGATGCGACAAGGTGTCTTTGAGGGAGGGGATCAGCTTCGTCCAGTCGCCCGGCGTATTGAGTTCAAGTCGTCGGAGGGAATTCGCGGGGTCCGGCTGCTTTAGGAGAAAAAGCAGTGTGTACAGGCTGTCATGGGAATTGACGCGGTCGGACCAGTCGAAAATGAGGTTCTCGGCCCGCGAGTTTGGGATAAAATTTTCGAGTCTACCTAGCGAGACTTTACAAGCGTATTCAAGAAAGTTGTTTCCGATAACCCAGTCGTGCCATCTGCGGGACTCTCGAGTACAGGCTGGTGATATGGTCAGTGATCGCAGTCGCGGGGCGATGGCCGGAGTGAAATTCGGTAGGCGGATGATATCAAGGCGCTGAGCTTTGGTCCACTCTGGCATCATCTCGACATGCAAGCGTTCGAGATATTGAAGATCGGTGAGTTTCTCCAAATAGAGAGGTTTCTGGCGATTGCCAGTGTATCTCAACGAGTCTTCAGGGAGATCCGGATCGGGTTTATCGAGGATAAACCGATTCATCGAGTGATGATCAACGGTCACTTCTCGGAGCTTGAGACGTGGTATATTCGCCCGTTCGTTGCCGCCCAGAGACCCCCCGCCTCCTTTGCTTTCCTTCGCAAATCTCTCGCAGATGAGAGGCAGTATCCCAAAGAGGCAATGGCCTGGCGATTGATAGCATGGGTCTGATTCTGGATCTGGGCCCCATTCAGTGGTCATCAAGCGCAACGTCTCTATGTTGGGGGAGTTGATCAGAACCGTGGTAATGGCTTCGACGTATTCCTCCCAGTAATCCGGAAGGTTACGAAGACTAAGCTCCTTGAGCCCACGAAATCTACGGAGCTCAGAAGGTATAAGATCGATCCCTAATCCAGCGTTGCAATACAGATCGAGGACGGTGAGACGGGGTGCGTACTGAGATAGGGATCTGAGGAGATTGGGGTATGGATCCATCCTGAACATTTGATGAAAAAAATTGTCAGCCTCATCTACCACAAATGGTTGCATCTTCACGTTATCTTTGGCAGTCATTTTTATGGCGGAACTTACGAACAACTCACCAACCCATCTAAGACATTCTCAGTGAAATATTCATCTTTTGGTCCCCACCACAATGACGAGTTTTTTTAAAATTTCACCGATAAGGTTGCGTGCATAGAGATGACGGACATGTCTCAGAAAAGGCGAAAGATTTTGTCGTGGAGCCATCAAGTCCTTTAAACGCTGTGAACTGCTAAGGATGTAGACGCGGAAGAGAGCACGCTCAAAGGCGGCAGCGAAGGCCCAGCTGGTGAGACGAAGATTCTGTAGGAGGTAGCGGTCTCCAATCGGAATGAAGGGGAGTTAGACGACCATCAAAAGGAATGACCATCAACACGGCAAATTGAACAAGAGGATCATCGAGAGGAAGGGAAGGGATGGAAACGGAGAAGAGGAATAGGTGGGAGCGGAGGGAGGAGAACAGGTACAAAAGCTAGGCAAAGAGAAACGAGAGGCAGTGAACAGAACAGAAAAGATGACCTTACCACATCGCCTAGGCAGAGCAGGAGATCACGATTATTGATAAACTTCTTCATGGAGACGCAGTCTGGGGACCAAGCACTTCCTCCTGGTATGGAAGCCATAATGTAGGCTGGAAAGGTGTGTCTCGACCAGGATTCGTACGTCGACCTGTACCACCCCGAAAGAGTTGAGATATCAGCATCAGGAGACAATACCCCACGAGGCAACCTCGTGTGACGAGACGAGGTATAAGGGCATGCCTCACCCTCCACGGTTCCTACCTCTGGGAAGGACGCGAGATGGAATGACACAGGCTCGTCAACTTCGCTCTTTGCTCATAGGTACTCTTCCAGGTTATGTTGTTTTGTCTCTTGACAGCAAGCTGAGTATAGGAAGCTCTTGAGGTTGCTTCAATCAAGTGAGCTCAGAGCGGTGTTACATATGTCAGATACACCAATGTCGTTGTTCTTTCCAACGTGATGTTTTGAGATTTTGCTTTCTTTTGTTATTTGTTAGCGAATAGTTAGCGGGCACACAGCCTGCTATCACTTATACCCAGCTCCTCAGCGGCACAAGAAATTAGTTTACTCATAGAGAGCCTTTTTGCATTATTTTCTTCTTGAAGTTCTTTTCAACTTCCCATTAGTACCACTTATGGCTCTTATATTTGCTCTGAAGCCTTTGATCCCAAGATCTTTGGTCTCAGTTTACTACAGACCAGAGGTGTTTCCTGTTAGGGCTCATTGTTGCTGAAACCCAATCAACATCCCAACAGTTACCCGCCGTAGCCATTGGGCCAATTGGCGTGCCTTCCCGCCATGTCATAGCGTGCCGTTGCCGCTCGGTTTCCCAGCAGCGCAGGAAGACCCGCGAACAAGCAATCTGCCGTCCGATACCAGCATAACTTTGGCTCATGCACAACCCACAGCAATCTGTTAAAGATTCATCTTTTCTAGTTAAGCTGGACCGTTGTAGCATGGATGCATTTAACCTTCGTCTTTCTTTCCATCCCAACCAAGTTCCACGCGCAAGTACCTAACCATGCGAAAGAGGGGTTGTTCCTGAAACACCACCACTCTCAGTCGTCGACCTGTATATACCCCGGATTTCACCCCTCAACTGCCTCATAACTTTTCACGTCCTGCTTCATTCATCACCACCTTCACCCCTCAACCCGAACAATTTCCACAAACGAAACTTCCATCTCAAAATGACACGAAAACCCACCACCACCTCAAACTCTTCATTCACCACCACCCCCTCCCGCCTCACCCTCCTCTGGCTTTCAGTCTCCCTCCCCCTCGTAATCTGGGACACCCTCTACGTCCTGCTTCGCCCACACACCATGCCAGGAGGCGCTCTGCACTACCCCCTCTGGGCACCATACGAGCTGTACGGACGCGTGGATTACGTGTACGGGTGGAAGGCGTGGAACGAGCGGAACGGGTTCACGGCCGCGCAGGGGATGATGAATGCGCTGGAGACGGTGATGTACTTGGTTTATGTCTGGGGGGTGTTGGGAGGTGGAAATGGAAAGGGGGAAGGGAGACGGGGGGCGACGGTGTTGTTGGTGGGATTTTCGGCGGCGGTGATGACGTTGAGTAAGACGGTGCTTTATTGTGAGTTTTTTTCCCCATATTTCTTCCTGGAGTTTTGTGGATATGTGAAAGTGTGATGGAGTGGAAGAAGAGGAAGAAGAAGTTGACAGCGAGTGGCGTATAGGGCTTAATGAGTATTACTCTGGGTTTGACAACATTGGTCATAACTCGACGTTCGATCTAATCTTGTTGTGGGTTATTCCCAAGTAGGTTATTCCCACACCTGTGTTGATGAAACTCTTGCTGATTTTCCCGTCAAATAGCGGCGCCTGGCTCGTCTTCCCATCTGTTATGATCTATACTTTGGGTTCGGAGATTATTGATGGCTTGGCTGGTCCTTTGACTACGGTAGATCGTTCGACCAAGGTCGAGTGAACTTTCTGCGGCCACAACCTGTGATCAGTATTCCTCTGGATCACCGGATGAAGCTTTCATTTGGGCGGTGACAACTATCTTCCGGTCTCGCCAATGGGTCCGTGATAGTCACCTTAACTTCGCCGATGGCGATGAGCCGTGGGGGTACAGTGATAATCAAAATAATACTGTCTCACCTTACCCCACTTGATATGTGGTAGAGGGTGACAGTATTTCTTTTGATTATGAGAGTATTATCCAGGAGAAGGTCTGAAAATTCAAGATGGCTCCAAGATTGGTGGGACTCGTATGGGACAATCGATTGATTACTCGCTAGTTGACGAGAGTCTCTCTGACTGAGCGCTCGATTGAGTCGCAGGACCTGGCCGTTGAAGTCGGGGAGGTCTACGGCAGTTAGCGACCTGTCTATCAAGAGGGCCAATCCAATCAATAGGTAGTTGAGGTTATCGAGGCTCAAGTCGGGCAGTGATGGACTGTACTCTGACGAGTGATGATATGCCACATGTTGCAAGAGCCACTTGATGTGCTTCTCTCAAGCATTTTTCTCCCTTCGTATTTCCTAATCATGCTTTTTTAGTTGGGCAAAGCTCGTTAATACGTGTACATATGTAACAATCAGTTAGCGATTCAGGAAGTGAATCTAATACGATTTTCAGCTGCCTCGGCGAGGGCGCCGCGATTGGCTGATGATGACTTTCAGGACCCAGCTGCTGAACTTGAATTGGTGCCCAAGCAGGTGAGGCCTCAAAGTGATGATCTTGCTATTCTTTGCTCTTTACTTTGCTTCTCTTATTCTTTCTCCCAGTTTACTCATTGCAACCCTTGATCTTCTTCGTTTGTTCTGTGTTGAATGCCTAATTCCGCAAAGCCCAGCCAACCTTGCCGCCCATTTCCACATCACCAAACCCTACACACAACGAACAGTCGCAGTCCCCCCTTATTTGACTCCGAGACGTCAAGGCCCAATGGCACCGACACCGTACTACGCGAGAGACACCCCAGCATTCACCGGCTTCCAACCTGAACCTGCTGGACGAGGGACAGAGGGAATCATCTGGACCTGCCTCAGCACCATCCTGCTTTCATCCTGGAGCTCATATCACGGCAATGCCTGTAATCCAAACAAACCCTTCAAGGAGGAGGCTATAATGTCATACGTTCTCAAATTTTTCCTTGCATTCCTCTTCCCTGAAGTGGCAGCACTTCTTAGTTTGGATAATCTGAATACTGCCCTGCAACTTCGGAAAACAATACGACAAGTGGGAGGAGCAGAATTTGCCAACTTCAGCTTGACGCAAGCCTTTATATTTGTCAAGGAAAGCGTATATCAGAGGCCGCACACCTCGGAAGAGATGGAGTGCATAAGCCCAGAGGCGCTTGTCAAGCTTGTGAGTAGCGGCAGACTGTCTTTCTCGGGTTTACCAACAGACGACGAACTAGCCGATAAGTCCAAGCGTGACTGGACACTCAAATCACTCTCCATAATTCAGACATTATGGTTCATCGCCAGCATCATTGCCCGCTTGTCCCGAGGGTACCCTGTGTCTCTATATGAGGACATCACTGTGGCAAATGCCTTCTGTGGCGTCGTTGAATTTTCGTGTTGGTTACATTGCCCTCAGGACATCCGTCTGCCTTTTATTCTTAAGTCGGGTATTCCTAGGGCAGCAAACGGTCCATCTACGACAGTCGACAGCGAGAAACCTGAGGGAGAAGCAACAGTTGAGGCATCATTACTTGTGTCCGAGCCCGCGACAACAGAATCTGAAGCCTCGTCTGCACCTCAGTTGCCTGTGCTCGAGGACATTAGCATGGATAGGATGAGCAGAGAATTACCAAGCAGCGAACACCCCCTTGTTACCCAAAAGACGAATAAGCGTCGGGCTTCATTTATAACGCAACCCGCCAAATTACTGAAGATACCAGACATGGTGAAGGTGGTCGTCTTCGCAGTCTTCTCAGTCTTATTTGCTGGCATTCACATAGCTGCGTGGAACTACGGTTTCCTATCCGTTGCAGAGGCATGGATTTGGCGAGGCAGTTCACTTGCGCTCACAGTATTGGGTCTCTGCTTGCCCTTCAGCTTTCTAATCAAAACAACACGTACATCGCTCGACGCCATAAGGCACCGTTTTGTGGTCATCACTCTTGTGCTATATGCCTTAGTCCGTACCATGATGCTGGGTGTAGCACTCGCGTCTTTCCGAAAGGTACCCACGAGGATGTATGAAACTCCGTCGTGGACACAGTATTGGCCGCATATCTGATGCGTTGAGGGAGACACTGTCAGAGGTGCTCAAAACATGAGGGATGTCGATCCTCGGAATGATGGTTCATGGGGCAATGATCACCAATCTGAGAAAGATGATGAAAAATGGAGTTGGAAAATGAGGGAGATGGAAGTGGGCAACTTGGAGGATATGCAACCTTGACGGAGGTGGAAGGGCGACGACAAAAACCGGGCTCGAATCTGAAGTGGCAACTGGTCAGGTGGCAACGGAGGACGAAAAGTGAACACCAGGGCAACCTAGAGATACAGGGAAGGAGTGCCGGTGAAAGGGAAGCCGAGTGATCGGAATGAACGGGGCATGGACTTCCAACGAGCGTCCCTTCCCTTGGCCTCGGCGTGGGTGATGACTGCTTCATCACCCCGAGCGCACTCACCCTTTCATCGTCCGAGCGTATGACACGCTGAGTGCTGGTACTTTCTAGTTAGACGCAAAGCGCGGCATATGAAGGAGTGGGGTTGATGTCTTTCCTTCGTTTCGGTTGGGGATAGCTTTGACTTCTTCGTGGCATCGTAATCATGGTCATGGAAACAGACTCGACAGTATAAGCGTGCGCTTTGTCGACCATGTAGTTATTTTAGAGTTTGATCATCCAAGTAGCGCGAGGAAAACCAATGTAAATAAACTTGTTTCCGTGGTGATAGCTTTTGATGAGGGAGGAGGCGATATTGTTCGAACAGGCTCCAAAGCTCCTACTCCCCATGTTAGCCTCCCATCTCATTCCCTTCTTTTAATATCTGTTGAATAACCTCGTCAAGCACATGACCAACGACAAGGGCAAACCTCCCACGTACCTGATCACATATCTTATTCAATCGCACAGCATGGCCGTGTGTATACTTCCATACTCTGTACCTTTCCAAGAAGATCGTCTTCCTTTGATCCCGCCATCATAGCAGTATACTTGCATCTGCTCCATCCCACCAGTTTGGAATCACGGTATCATTTTCAACTCGTGAGCCTGAACAAGCTAATTTGTGCGTAGCGATGGACTCAAAACGAGGTCTGAAAGTGACTTCAAGTTCAAAAAAAAAAGAAAAAAAAAAAAAAAGAAAAAAAAAAGAAAAAAAAGAAAAAAAAAAAGAAAAAAAAAGGAAAAAAAAAAAAGAAAAAGAAAGGAAACCCAAACTGGCGGCGGAGTACAAACAGCGGGCTGTTTAAGATTGACGCAATCAAGGCTTCGTGGTTTCCGGGGTTGAGTTCTGGGATTTGGATGACAGGGAAGGAAGGCAGAGTAGAGTAGTCATCAACTACTCGCTTTTTGTTTGTTGTCTCCTTCCCCCAGCAGCTTCAAGTCCAGGCTTTGCCTCTTGCTTTCTTCCTTCCTTTCTTAGAACATTGCTCTAGGAGTTGATCATTCCGCGGTTGTCAACATCAATACTATATGCCTTCCCATTCCAACGTTTGTACAATTTGAAACTGGTTCGATTCAGTTGGTGATCTGGCTTTTCGAGCATGGGTAGAGCAGGGGAGTTTTGGGTGCTCTCATATTAGCCTGTATAGAGGAACTGTCCTCTGTTTGAAGCGATATCGGACGACGACGACGACGACGACAACAACAACAACAACAACAAGGGTCTAAGAAGCTACAGAAGCCTCTTGTGAGCGTCCGTTTAGGCTCTCTCCGTATCCTCCAAGGCCTTGAAAATGGAAGACCTGGGATATAAGTTTCTTGACACGATAACAATAAATCCAGTAAAGCTTCGACTTTGTGTACCAGACTAACAAACACACCAGGACGGGATTGTAGGGTGATGGTAATTGCCCCTGCCCCGGACAACTCTCACACTCTCATTCCTCACAGCTCCGCGCGCGAGAAGGCACAGGACATTCAAGCTTCTGAAGAATTCTCCTGAAGGACCACCAAGCCTCACCCAACAAGCCACAGAAGATCGAGCTGTACTTCACTGATAAGAACCTTGTAGAGTACGTACAAAAAGGACATCAAAGGGTTCAGAAAAAGTCAAATCGTCACTGTTTATATCCTGGTGTTGTTCGCGACGGGCGCCCTTTTGGGGGTCGTACATAATAAAACCAAGAAAGCCGAGGGGAAGGCGGTGGACGAGGGAGTGAGAGACGAAAGAGGTGCCAGCAACCGAAAAGTCATCATCATCCGAACACTTGGAAGAAGTTCAAGTTTTGTCAGGAGTGTCAGAATTTATCGAAGAGGGTACCGGAAGAAAATTCACAATGACTCGGCACGGAGGGTTCGAAGAGTCGTTTGACGTTAAAGGTTACCAGCAGAAACAGGAAAGTTGACCGAATCTGGACAATGACCTGTCTTCATTGTCTTCTTGATCATTTATCTGTGCATTGGAAATATACGTTTCCTGCCAGATCAGAAAGGTGGACTGGGGAATCCGTGCAGTCACGATGGCTGTCAGTGGCCTCATTTTCACGGAGAAACTTCACAAATCAAGGATGACTGCAAAAGGATGACCTCATGGCTGCTCCCCCAATATGCATAGCTTTGTATGTCTTGAGCCGCCTAGCAATTCTGGACGTTGCGCTTTCGTCCTTCCGAAGTGCACCAGTGGGTATTTACGAGGTTCCAGGCTGGACAAGGCTCTGTCCGCATGTGTAGGAACTAGGGAGACACGGCAAACCCAGGAGCAATTCCGGCGGACTGAGAATTCTTAGGACTTTACTTTGGAGTCAGAACAGCTGGACCTTGTGGGCTGACATGGGGGATTTTCACAAATTGTTCACGAGCAGACCAATGTTGAAAAGGGAAACTTTTATTTTCGCACGTGTAATATTTGGCATTGATTGCCAAAGTAAGAACCCTAGAACAAACGAAACCAAATCAATGCTGGGTATCAAGATGAACTCCATAAGTCTGGTAGATAGGATAGGGCTTGAAATAGAAATTCCGCAATAAAAACAAAGCAAATGAGTTGCCACAGTGTACAGAGGAAACTTTGACCACAGACGGTGAAACGAGCCTTACCCGTGAGGGGTCACACTGGAACCTTCACCTCCAAGTCCCTCAGCCCGCCTACATCCGCATACTGTGCCCAGGGGTCGCTGCTCGTCTCATGCATAGGCATGGTACAATTGGCCTTATTGTCACCCCTTCCAGCAATGTCGAGAGAGGTTGCTGACTGAGTTTTCCGGATTCTCAGAGGATCAGGGTGGCACTCACTCGGTCTCCGTCGACTGCTTCTGCGAGGGAGCGGAGGTGCCAGATCGTTGCTTTCTAGGGTCATACCGCGCATCAGTTCTTCTCCAGTTACCAGGGCTTTTGGTGATGTTGGTGAGCTGCAGAAGCTCGGCGCTGTCGAAGACGCAGAAACAGCCGTCTCCCTGCTTGTCGTACTAGATCCGGTGGTGTTATTGGATGACGTAGATGCGGTCGATGGTGAGCGGAGCGTAATACCTTGCGTCCTGATACCCTGTTCTGGGATTTGGGTATTGGATGCCTTCGTGACGTCGGCAAGGGACTGAGGCGGTTTGTTGTCTATGGTTGGCTCGCTATGGCCAGGGTGGACATCGTTGGTACCATTCCCATATCCTTGAATTACAATCTCGTGGTATGAAGCACGCCTGCTGCGGCTGGGTGAAGTGGACTCTTTCTCTGCTGGTCGGTTCCCAGTGAACGCATTGAGAGAATGACTGATACTCTTGGTGAGACTGTGAACTCGGGTTGGAACAACGGGCGGGGACGTCGTTCTGGGGTCAGTTGCGATCCTACTAGGCGTCCTATCATGTATCAACGCGAAGTGGTCAATATCCGGTCTGATCTTCCTGTCTTCGCCGTAGGTAAACACCGCCGGAAATGATGACAGAATGAGTGGTGTGGGAAGTGAGAAGTTTGGCAGCGACTTGAAAGATGCATGGCCATTTTGTCTTGTTCCCTTTGAGATTCGAGTGCTGAAGCTTGACTCATAGTCGTCCGCATCCCAAGGCGGTAAATTTTCGGTACTGACGGCCATGTTGTAGTATGTATTTCCGACGTTCTGGCATTCCAGAGGAGCCTGTGTGCAGGCTCGTAGTACTTGATAGATTGCATAGACGAGAATCCATCGAACTTTCCGCGCGTCAACTTGGGAAATCTTCTCTTGTCTATCGATCTTAAGAGGTGAGAACACGCAGTCTTCTTCGTATCTTTGATAAGCAATGACAAGTGGATTCCTGTAGATGGTGGCTTTGCTTCTGTTAGATGCTTTCGCCAGTGCTGCATGTGCAACTACCCGTTGGTCTGGCTTTAGTTTGTCGGATTTATGCAGCCAGGAGGTTCTTCGAGACGCGCTGGTGGTAGGTAATTCCGGCAGTAAAGGCAGGGGGTGGGGAAGCGGAGAGTACCTATTCCGTACGTCAAAGCCATGGACACACTGGAGAGTACACAGTCCCCCTTGAGCAGAGGCTGGTATGCTTTCTGACGGGGTATATGTGTTATCCACCAAGAGTTCGTACAAAGCTTCGATGTCATCTCGCATCGTTCGATATATTGCGGGAGGGAATATCAAGTACCGTTGGTCGATTGATGTTGGCGGGTAGTATCCGATCTTGGTAGCGAAAAAAGCGTGGAGGAAGGTTCGGAAACGCTCAAGATGAGACCGTCCGCCGACCGTCAGACCTAGATGAGCCTGGGATAAATCCTCATCCAGGAAGTTTTGCAACATCAACGTAGCCTGTCCAAGTTTCTCATCCATTTCGGCTTTTGCCTGACGAAGAAGCCTTCGAGTTGCAGAAGTGATAACCTAGCTAACTAGTTAGCTCAAGACTAGACGACGCTGAAGTAGTTGTGAGGAACGCTTGCCTGGTATTCGGGGACAACGTATAGCTCTTCAAACATTCCGGTACAGTGGGTGAATGCCTCAATGTAGAGCCTGCGATCTTGACAATACTCCGCAAATTGAAGCATGCCTAAGGCATGTGCTGGTTGATTACACATTTCCAGATAACCTTCTTCGTCGGCGTAGCTCAACAGGTCGTCCGCATTGTTGACCCCAAGACATCGGAGCTCAGTCATTGTGTGTAAAAGACGAATGAGGGTTGCTCCAAGATGTTCCCCCACCATCGATCTCCGAAAAATCCAGGCAAAGAAATTGCGAATATCCAGGTAATGACGAATGACCTCTGCTTCGGTTGCCGTAGGTGGAGCAGAAATGTAGAGCTCGATTTCGCTGGCTTTGATGTCTACTGTTTCTGGGATATCTTGTCTGATACATCTTGCGACCAGGGGTTGACATTGAGTTGCAAGCAAGGTGTCGAAGGGCACTTTGAACGAAGGGCTCCGACTCGACTGGCCACGGCCATATAGATATACTGAGCAATTACCCTTGCGATGCCATAGCTCCGGGTCCTGGCTATAAGTTAGCCTTGTTATCTCTCGTCGACTTGACATTCTCCGCTCAGGCATACTCTTTTCCATAAGCAGTCCCACGGTTGGGAAGTCCTAGAGGCACCGTCCCACCGTTTAAAATCCGGAACTCTTGCTCGCCGTCTGTCGTTGAGACTGCCAAACCTAATGCTCTTCCCATTTTGCGGCTGGGAGCGAGCCTGGTGAAATCGTCCTCCGTCCGACCAGGATCTTGGTATGCCACATTGTGCCATGGTAGACCCGCGCGTATCGTTTCGAGCTGGTGTGAAGACCGGAGTCGAAGATCTGGCTGACATACACGTTCGCCTTTTCCCTCTTACACTGGTGGAGAGTTGTCGTGGGAGGCCAGGGAGTCCGCCTGCTTAAGTCATCGCGGGGAGACCCAGGTAACCCCAGCCGTCAAGACCAGAGACAATGCACGTCTGCCGAAGTACAAAGTGCATGTTGTGTTCCACAGCCTCGACCTTGGTTGATGGACTCAGACGGGATGCACAACAGCCTAACCCGAGGCCTTGGCTCGACGTCAATAGGCTTTACGTACGGCTTGTGTGGCAAACTTGGGCTCAATGGGCCGATCACCTTTGTGATTAGCATGACGGACTGCTGGCAAAGGAGGAAAGAGATGAGGCGTCTTCCGGCTGTGCAACGGCTCGAAGAGGCAGTCGACGTATGCACTCTTCCCCGTCCAGACGAACCAGATACCCTTCCCTTTGCATATTCAGCTCTCCTCTTGGGAGCGCATGCGGCTGACCAACACCCAGAACTACCTGTCTCTGGCCCGTGTCATGGCCACTCGGCCTTTCTGGAGCCGCATCCAGACTCAGGACCCAGAGCTGAGGATTGGGTGATAGAGGAGGGGCTGATAGTGACATGTACACAGTAGTGAGGAAGATGACAGGGCTGCGTCAATGAAAGCAATGTGGTGCCAATCAAGACCAGGTCGGGAGTCGGCGTGGGGAGGTCCACGGAATGGTCGAGTTGGATGACGGAGGAGTATTGGCTATTGCAAAGCTGATCGCCTTCTTTTGGCGCCGTATCACGCCAGTCACTATAGACGCCACAAGCCATGATGCAGATGATGGGATGTCGTGGATCCTGCCACCGGTGCCTCTTTTGTCTTGGTTTTTCTCGCCTTTTGGCGGGTTTTAGTCCAGCTTATCAATCTCTTGGGGTGGCATCCCGCCGTCTGGGTCGTGTCTCGGATACCGGATGATAGACGACGCCGACAGGACGGGGAGACAGGAAGTTCGAGAGCAGCAGAAAGCCATTTTTGGCAATGGAGGCGGCTCCTTGTTCAAGGTGGACAGCGCGGGCAGCAGAGAAGGAGGTCAGCGTTTGGAAGAGTTACAGGATACAAATGGACAGGTAATGATACGGCCAGAAGAAGCGCATGGATCATTGATAAGTTGAAGGTGTCCAGTCGTGGTCTCAAGGTGCTTCTGCAAAGTGTCACTGTTTTGTGATGAGGAAAGAGATGATTGATAGACTCGAAAGTTGAAAGAGGCCCGGGAAGTGGAATGTGAAAGAAAGAGGACAGCAGTTGGGAGCTCAAGGGGCATGGACATTCTCTCGTTACGGTGGGGGTTAGGGATATGTGTGTAATCGCATATTCTCCCCCGCAATGGGGGAACTGCTGCCTTCTGCCGTGTGCCCTAAAGCTGCCCACTGGACCTCAACTTTCGGGCGTTATCTCCAGGAGCAAGGGTACTCCAGGTCCAAACGCGTCAGGCGCGTCAAGAGAAGCTCCAAGTCCCCTCCGGCCTCCATCTCTCCCGCCACACCATCGGACATCCTTCCCTCCCTCCCGCTCCCCCCTCCCCCACCTTACCCGCGCTGCCGTCCCACTCCTTCTTCGACGATGGACATCGATTGAAGCATCCGGACTGGACTGGACTGGCGCACACGAACAACTCAGGCCCCCCTCCCCAGCCGAACCCACGAGACTCTGCATGCATGTTTGGAAACAACAGACTCCCCGCTTTCCACCCAGGCCTCACCCAAAGCCGAATCAGAGACACCACTACCGGCAGTGGCTTGTGGTTCCCCGGGCTACGATCACCACCACTACCCTCCGAATCCGATCCCGCCAATGACCAGCTACCGCTACCAATAACACAAGAGGACCTCTACGACACTCCCATGGCGCCCTTCAATCCTTACACCTATATCCGGTGTCCCTGCTCAGAGCTCAACCCCTACACCAAGAGGACCCCCGACGTCACCGCCCAAGGCCTGTCTCGCGCCGCTCAGGATGACGACGACCATACCTTTGACCCTCGTGCTGCCCGGTCCAACTACAGCCTCTATCCGCTAGAGTATCTCTCCTTCTGTGAGGACTGCCACCAGATCCGCTGTCCACGATGTGTAGCCGAGGAGATCGTTTGCTACTACTGCCCCAACTGTCTGTTTGAGGTGCCGAGTAGCAACATTAGGAGCGAGGGGAGCAGGTCAGTGATGCCACGTCGTCTACCTACTTCCTCACACTTGACTAACATGGAACTTCTCCCCTCAGATGTACCCGAAGCTGCTTCCAGTGCCCAATATGCACCGGGCCCCTCGCTGTGAACCACGTCGAGACACCACCAGACCCAAACCAGCTGCTTAGTCCAGATCATGCCTCTTCTTCCCACTCGGGCTCCTACATCTTGTCATGCTCTTACTGCAACTGGAGCTCTACCGAAATAGGCATCAAGTTCGACAAGCCGAACAGCATCCACATGCAACTGGCCAAGCTACGAAACGGCGGCGAGACGAGGTTGACAGCGAAAGAGCGCAAGGAGCGACGGAAGGAACAGGCCTCCCAAGGCGCCGGCGGTGGCAGCAGCACCGGCCAGGGAGAAGAAGACCTAGACACTCTCCTGGACATGGAAACCCAGTTCGCCAACCTCAAGTCCTTCTATCAGAACCAGCTCTCCGACGCCAATGGTACCGGCAAAGTAGGCGGCGACCCCTCCGCCGCCCTGGGCAACCTAGGCTTCGACGCGCCTGCCTCTCTCTCCCGCATCATGTCGCTCTACACCGGCTCCTCCTCGCTGCACGACAAGAAATCCAAGTCGCGACCGGGCACCATGCGCGAAGCACTTGCTCCCTCCGAAGGTCTGCAACTAGCCTCGCTCGATGAATCTAGCGCCATCACCGCCCTCCAAGACTTTGAATCCACCACCGGCCTCGATGCCTACTCCTCTACAGCCTCCACCACCCAACTCCAGTCTCAAGCCCCTTATCTCGGCGCCTCGCCCCTCCACGGTCTCACGCGCTTCACCTCGTCGCTGCGTCCGATTCCCTACCTCCTGCGTACCAAGCGTTCCAAGCGCTGCCCGCAGTGCCGCCACATCATCAGCAAGCCCGAGAGCAAAGTGACCACGACGCGCTTCCGCATTCGTCTGATAGCGGGTAACTACATTCCAACCATCACCATCAAGCAGCTGATCATCCCCGGCCTGACCCCGCCACCGATGCCGAACCTACCACCGGATACCATCGAGCCTTTGAAGCCGGCCCAGTTCGTGTTAACCTTCAAGAACCCCATTTTCGAATCCGTGCGAGTTACCTTGGCCACACCAGCCACCACCCCCGGCAGGTTCCCTGCCAAAGTCACTATCCTCTGTCCGCAATTCGAAATAGACTCCAACACGGACGTCTGGGAGGAAGCGCTTAAAGATAACAACGCCACATCCTCCTCTTCTCAATCTCAAAACCTCTCCAGCTCCACAGGGCCCGAAGGTTCAGGCCCAGGTGGTCGTAAACGCGCAGGCACGTTACGGCCGGGCACGGCGGGGGGCGCAAGTCTGGCCGGGGAGGAATTGGGACCGGAAGTAGGCAAAGTGTGGGAGAGGGGAAGGAACTGGACGAGTATTGTGATTGAGGTGATACCCGCCAGTTTGGTGCAGACGGCCAAGAGGGATGGAAGGGGACCCATCAAGGAGGATGAAGATGTGCTGGAGATACCCATGTTTGTGAGGATCGAGTGGGAGGCGGAGGCACCCGAGGATGAGATCATGCCTGGGTTGAGTAGCGCAAAGGGAGGAAATAAGGATGGTGGGAAGGAGAAGAGAGAGTTGGCGTATTGGTGTGTGCTGGGGTTGGGAAGGGTTGCGAGGACGTTGTGAGACGGTGTCTGTGAGCGGTCATGATAAAATGAGTTTTATTGGATTCGGGGGGTTAGAGTCAAGGAATGATGTTTACGATTGAGGGCACGGTTCAAGGGTGTCATATGTATGACGGCGTTTAAAATCATGCAACGACCATAGAAATTGCAGGACAAACACATAAGGCGAGGGACACACGCGACGAGCACATGATCGCAAATATGGACAAGATGTATCCCACAATCCATAACGCAGTAGTATTTGAATGTTGGCATTGATAGTGCACAACACAAGGGATAACAGGTAGTAGGGGAAAACCCATGCCTGCCCTTTTTCCAGAGACAAGCTAGCTAGACGCCGTTCCTTTTGTACTGCCATGCATGCATTGCAAGAGAACCGAACCCGAATATCATCTGAGCCCTAACCCAATAATCACCCTTGGAGTGCTCCAGCCCAGACACTCAAACGCCCATTGCGTCCACCGTTTAGAACTCAGCGGAGACGAGGGGGAACTCGAAGAGGACGTTCTTGCCGGTGAGGCGGCGGTAGACGGCGGAGTAGGTGTCGAGGCGGTAGTCGACGGAGCCGCGCTCCTTCTCGTCAAGGATAACCTTGAGGGTCTTGGAGCCGTCCTCCTTGACACGGAGACGCTTGCCAACGATCTCGACGGGGTAGACGAGGTCGGTGAGGATGGCGTCGTGGACGGCAGTGAGGGTGCGCGAACGGGGACGCTTCTGCTTGAGGGTGTTGCGGGAGCGGCTGGAGCGCTTGGGGCGGGGGAGGATACGGCGAGAAGCGACAATCAGGACGTGGCGGTCAGAGAACTTCTTCTCGAGCTCACGGGTGAGACTGAAGGGGGGGGGCAAGTTAGTATCACTGCAAGGTTTGATATAAAGAGATTGAAACTTACCGCTGCTGGACGCGGTGGAAGCCCTGCAGGGAAGGGACGGGGACAAAGATGACAATAGCCTTCTTGCCGTGGCCAACCTCGATCTATTCCAGACCAAAAGTCAGCATGCGAGCTCCAGGATGACCATGGGGATATCAATCCTTGGACCGCTCCCGTCCTATTCCGCGGCGCGCTGTATGGTATTTCTGATGTGTATATGGTCTCTGGGCGCGAGCAAGCAACAGACACACGCCTGCAAGTGCCCATGGTGATTTTGTGTCCATTCTTTTCAGGATTCAATCATCATGCACCCTCTGGGCACCGCTGCTGCTTGTGCCTGGCTGCCCGCCCCTTTCCAATATTCTCATATCATATTTCCCAGAAGCGACTTTTCGGCTCGAGGCGAAAAACGTGGTGTGTCTTTCTGGCTCTCGTGGTGTGCGCCGACGCCGGAACAGGAACTCGGAGAGTCTTCGGTTTTTTGTTTTTTTTCGCGGTGTCGAGATTTCATACCTCGCGGGCAGAGACGAACTGCAGAGGGCGGAGGGCAGCCTTGAGGTCGGCAGTGTTGGACTCAAGGTCGTAGAGGGCGCCAGCGACGGCGGTCTCAAGCTCAGAAGGGTTCTGGCGAGAGGGGCTGTTGGCCGCGATCTTGTTGAGCTGAGGGGCAGACATTTTGGCGATTGTCGATATCGGGTCGATTGGTCGGTCGTCGTCGATTGCAAGAGTCTCAAGGCGGCCGTCGTGATGGACTGCGGGTAAGAAAAGTTGGATGGGTCCCAAGTTGCGGAGACACGCCAAGACTTAGGGCTCGTAAGCCCTCTCTCTGCTTATCGGTTGGTGAGGTGAGTGGTTAGCAGATAAGGAGTGCCCGGGCCATCAGGTCATTCCATTTCGCTGGCTCGAACGAAACAGGCAGGCGGTGTCAATTCTCAGATGGGCAGAATAAGGTATCCATCTACTGCATAGTATTTCTTGGACCCCTCAGCAATTGAATGGCCCAAGCTCCAATCCGCACGCTTCGGGCTAAAGACAGAGCGAGGTGAATTGGGTGATTGCACCAAAACCACAGACAAGGTTCATGGCTGCGTCCCGTCAGTCAGTCATCAGCGCAACCTCCTCCTCCAACGCGCCCCAACACACGCGGCCAACAACAACTTGACGGCGTTACGAGCTCACAGTTACTTCCATTGGAAATAAATGGCTTCAGACAAACAAGCTCCTGCTGGAGCAACAGTAGCAAATCAACCTCAAGGATCCGCATTCTCCCTCCCGCTCCTCTACCGCCTCTTCTTCCTCCTCATCGAACCTCTCTCCGCTCTGCTTGGCGCATATTACGCCTACTTCGACAAGAAGGCCTACCTCGAGCTCACGCATGCCGCCTCGGCTCCTGAGACGATTCCGCTGGGAACGTCCATCGTGCTTTCCCAACTCGCCAACCTGTATCTCTTCTTCGCCATAAACGAAGCCCTCGTGCTGCGGTCAACCTCGGACATCCACGTCTGGAAGACCGTGCTTTTCTGTCTGTTGATTGGCGACATCGGACATCTCTACACGGTTCGCGAGTTGGGAATGAACATCTACTGGAGTCCGTCAACGTGGAATGCCATCGATTGGGGCAACATCCCGTTTGTCTACCTTGGCGCATCGATGAGGATTGCCTTCTTGGCTGATGTGGGCTTGTATAAATCGGGGAAGAGGTTGCAGAAGAAGAGGACGGCTTGATTCGGGGGGTGATAGGAATTATGGCTAGATAAAAGGCGTGATAGCAGATTGAGCGAGTCCAACAAGCGCTTTGGAGACTTTGGATAGCAACAGAAGCGGATCGACATACATCTGCCATGAGCTAACCTTGACCAAGCTTCCATGAACTTGGAGAACTCTTCTGCTGTTGAACAGGTGCATCTCTGCAACTTCAATGGTCGTCGAGGTCACCAAAGCCATCGATCAGCAAGCACAATGCGACGAGTTGATTCGTGGATAAATAGAGTTACACCCTGAGCCCCTTTGGCCTTAGCTTCCTCTCTCCGTGGGGCTATCACTCAACCCCCAATGAACCCTTTCCTCAGAAAACGAGACTTATACCCGTATCTATCGCGGGGCATGGCGGGGGGAGACCCCTCATGATAAAGGTATCTACGATATTCCTCCTTACATCAGATGATTCAGCTTGTCGCTTTTTCTCCAGGAGTAGGATGGATCCGCCAGAGTGGGTAGGAATCCCGCGATATTTTCCAGAAAATGGGAAAAGCCGCGGGGGGCTTATGTCACGTCCGGTATGGTACGCTTTTCTAGTGACGGATCTGCCCCCCTTATGGGCAAAAGATTTCCGAAGGGCATGCCCTCCGGCTGAACTGTTATAAGCAGGCAGTGGGAGAACAGTTTGGCATGCTCGGTAACTTTGTTGCCGTGTGTTGATCATCCGCATGTCCGTGAGTGTATTTATAACTCGGGAACACCCCATTGTGTAGTCCTCTTGGTCGTGTTTGCTTGTTTCCTTTATACGTCGTCACTTGCTTGTCGTTCTTGCTTCATACGTACACAATCCCCAACATGTCTGTCCCCGAAAAGTTCACCGGCTTCCAGGTCAACGGTCCCGAGACCTGGACCGAGTTCCACAAGAACGAGTTCCAACCCAAGCCCTTTGGCGACTACGACGTCGACATCAAGATCGAGTGCTGTGGTGTTTGCGGTAGTGATGTTCACACCATCAGCGGCGGGTGGGGCGAGCAGAAGTTCCCTCTTGCTGTTGGACATGGTACGGTCCTTGCCCTACATATGATGCGCCTCTCCGTCAACCAGCTATTGAACCCCAAGACTGACTAATTGACTGACTGACTGACTGACTGGCTTGAAACCCATAGAAATCGTCGGAACCGCCCTCCGCGTCGGTCCCAAAGTAACTCTCATCAAGCCCGGGCAGCGTGTCGGCGTCGGCGCCCAGTCCTACTCCTGCCTCGACTGCCGTCAGTGCAAGAACGACAACGAGACGTACTGTCGCAAGCAACTAGACACTTATGGCGCCGTGTGGCCTGATACCGGCATCGTCAGCCAGGGCGGTTACTCCTCCCACGTTCGCACCCACGAGCACTGGTTCGTCATCTTTGTCTTCTTTCTTTTTCGTTTCCCTCTCCCTTCCCCTCCCTCTCTTTCCTTTTAAAAGCCCAACTAACCCATTTGTGCCCCTTTATATGATAGGGTCTTCCCAATCCCCGACGCCCTCCCCTCCACCGTCGCCGCTCCCATGCTCTGCGCCGGTCTAACCGCCTACTCCCCTCTAGTCCGCAACGGCTGCGGCCCCGGCAAGAAAGTCGGCATCGTCGGCCTCGGCGGCATCGGCCACCTAGGTCTCTTGTTCGCCAAAGCCCTCGGCGCAACCGTCTACGTCATCTCGCGCACCCACTCCAAAGAAGCCGACGCCCGCAAAATGGGCGCCGACGGCTTCCTCGCTACTGCCGACCCCAACTGGAACGAAGAACACATTATGACGTTTGATTTGATCATCAACACGGCCAACAGCTTTGAGGGGTTCGACCTGGATGCGTACTTGAGCTTGTTGGATGTCCATGGAAAGTGGGTGAGTGTGGGATTACCTGAAGACGAGGAGGGGATTCGGGTGCGGAACCAGACGTTCTTGAAGAACGGGTGTTTTTTCGGGAGTAGTCATTTGGGGAGCCGCAGAGAGACGTTGGAGATGCTGCAGCTTGCGGCGGACAAGGGGGTCAGGACGTGGGTGGAGGAGGTGAAGATTAATGAGGAAAACCTAAAGGAGGTGATGCAGAAGATGAAGGGCGCTGGGGGCAGGTATCGGTTTTGTTTGACAGGGTATGAGGAGGCCTTTGGGGCGTGAATGGTGGGGTCTTTGGGGGACTGCGGAGTGTAGAATTAGATGAGGCAACTAGGAATGGGAAAGGGTGTAAAAGTCAAAAGAGGATAGATTAAAGATTTTGCGAAGAAAGTACTCGTGATCACTATACGTGCTAAATTGTGATATGAATGTTTTTGGTGATGACGTTATGAATTCCTCCAAATCACTTGATTGGGCTTCAGGACACTTGGCTTTTGACGATGATTTCGTAAGATTTTGGTTTCAGTGCATGTCATCAGGGAAGAGAAGGGCGTCCGTCGAGACACTGCAAGAGGTTGACTTACTTTCTGGTTAAGAGGTAGTAATGGTAAGTTGTCACTCACGAACCATTCATTATAACAACAGACGGGTACTAATACCTGTCTAGTAGCTGTGGTCATAAACACGCTCTATCATTGCATCTCGCTGAGAATGTGTCTTGTCTAGAAACAGAAAACGCCAGAACCCCTTTCTATGCAATTGTCCACGCAACCCCAAGTCTATAAAACTCCATGCAAACAAATGTTTACCATATCCAGGAGAGAAGAGGCCAGAAAAGCAAACAAACTCTCCCCGGCAACGGCAATTTAGACAAAGGCCCTAGTGGAGTGCGTGTCGTCCCAAGACCTGAAGGTGTCGCCACTAACAAAACTCCACGGTTCCACCTTGACCCCTGAGCCAGGGAGAGCCGCGAGACGTTCGCAGTTCGCAAAGCGTTAAAGCCCTAGAAAAAAAATTAGCGAGAGATTCCCTATAGAGTGGTTGAGAGATGGAGGAGTTGATGCTCACCAAGTAACTATTAACAAGGGGTATATAAGGTATGAGTGTGTAGTGTGGTAGTAAAAAGACACCATCTACTATCTAGCAGTTACTGTAAAAAGATGAAGCAAACAACGCCGCGTTCCCAAAGCGATTTGAAATGCAACCACCACCCAAATAATTTTTCCGTAAACCAGTCATTCATGCCCATCTTTAAACCTTTTCGTCTTTTTTCCGATTTTTCGCACTGCGCTGCTGCTACTGCTGGTGCTGTGCCCAAATGCTGATGTTCATGTCATCAGAAGGGACAGTCTTGAGCGGTAACCAAAGTTGGTGATGTTTTCGTCGAACCGAAGGGTGTGCTGCTGACCCTGGGTATTGTGACTGGCCTCGAAACCGGTGGCTGTCATAGTAGTCCTCCTCTTAAATTGGATCCATGCCCTTCGCTGCGGGCAACTCCTATGCATCGTCATCGTTGTGCTCTTGCCTTCGTTTGTCGATAATCTAGAAGTGAGCGCCGTTGATACTCCCGTTGGCGAAGCCGGCATCCTGGAGGATCTCCTTGGTGATCTGGTCGAGGCAGCCGATGGCAGCGGCAACGAAGCCGAGGAAAGGGCGGGAGGGGTCGAGGACACGGCTGGTATACTCGGGGTGGTACTGAACACCGACGTAGTAAGGGTGGTCCTTGATCTCGACAACCTCCATGCGCTCACCGGAGTCGTCCTTGCCGATGAAGATGAGGCCAGATTGCTCGAGCTTCTCGATGTAATCGGGGTTGACCTCGTAACGGTGACGGTGACGCTCCTCGATGGTGGTGGCCTCGCCGTAGAGAGCGCGGAGCTTGCTGAACTCAGAGCCGGGCTGGAAGTGAGTGGAACGGGTACCGAGACGCATAGTACCGCCAAGCTTCTCCTTGGAACCCTCGGGCATGAAGATGATAACGCGGTGCTCGGCGTTGGCGTCGAACTCCTCAGAGGTGGCATCCTTGAGCTCGCAGAGGTTGCGGGCAGCCTCGATAACGGCAACCTGCATACCAAGGCAGACACCGAGGAAGGGGGTCTTTTGCTCACGGGCCCACTGGGCAGCACGGATCATACCCTCGGTACCACGGTGACCGAAGCCGCCAGGGACGAGAATGCCCTTGGCGACACAAACATCGTGCCAAGCCTTGTGGTACTTGGTGGGATCCTCCTTCTGGGTCTTCTCCTCGAGGTGCTCAGAGTCAACCCAGATGAGGTTGAGCTTGCGGCCACAGCGCATGGCGGAGTGCTCAAGAGCCTTAATGACGGAAAGGTAAGCATCGTGAAGCTCAACGTACTTGCCGACCAAGACGATGTCGACGGTCTCGGCGTAACCGAGGGGAACAATCTTCTGCCACTTGGCCCAGACCTCCTGGCCCTGGCTGACACGTGCGGGGGAGAGCTTGACGTCGTCGAGCTTCAGGGTCTCCTTAAGTTCCCTGAGCAGACCCTGCTCCTCAAGGAGAAGAGGCACCTGGTAGATGGTGGGCATATCGCGGACGGCAAGGACCTGGTTGACCTCGACCTGGCAGCTGGAAGCGACCTTGTTGATGGTGCCCTGCTCAAGGGGCTTCTCACAACGGCACGCAATCTGCGGAATGGAGTTAGCAGGCAAGAATCACCAGACTACCGATGAGGATACTGACCAAGTCGGGAATGAGACCAGCACTCCTGACGCTCTTGACAGCGTGTTGGGTAGGCTTCGTCTTCTGCTCGCCGTTGACGACAGGGACGTAAGAGACGTGGATGTTGATGAAGTTGTTCTTGCCAGCTCTGTGACGGAGCTGGGTGAGGGCCTCAACGAAAGGCATGCTCTCAATATCACCGACAGTACCACCCTATTGGGGGTTAGCAGACGCCATGACTGATGAATGGACAGTGGACCAACATACCAACTCGATGATGCAGACATCAGGCTCCTCGCCAGACTTGTCGACAGGCACCCTGGAGACACGGTTGATGGTGTCGATGATCGCGTCGATAACGTGGGGTACAACCTGGACAGTGCGGCCGAGGTACTTGCCCTTGCGCTCGTTCTCGATGACCTGCTGGTAGACCTTGCCGGTGGTGATGTTGTTGTCGCGGGCAAGGTCGACACCGAGGTAACGCTCGTAGTTGCCGAGATCCAGATCGGTCTCGCCACCGTCATGAAGGACGAAGCACTCGCCGTGCTCCTTGGGGTTCATGGTACCGGCATCAACGTTGATGTAAGGGTCAATCTTGATGGCAGTGACCTTGAGGCCAAGGGTCTTGAGAAGGAGACCGCATGATGAGGCTATTGATTGGTGTTAGTGGATTAAGCCCAGGAATAACATGTGATAAACGGGCCTGTTCATCATCATCATATGCATCCTTGAGAGGATGTTGAAGTGATGTCACAGATACAGGCCAGACTCATGAGTTTTTCTCTTTTACTTGGCGTGCATCCAAGTTGAGTGACTCGATGCATATGAGTGAGATTGAGGATGATCGTGGTGGTTGTTCCCCTTCAATAGGTTGAGAAGAGACTGCCTACCAATAATGCCCTTGCCAACTCCACTCACAACACCTGGAAAACGCAGACAAGTTAGACCTTTGTTCACATGAGATTATTATTTGTTTATTGTCTATGTTTACATACCTCCTGACACCAGAACGAACTTCATCTTGGGCGATGATGGCATTGCGCTAATGACGACAAGAGGGACCTTGGGTGGATTGACGGGCCACTCGATGGGATCGATACTGGAATAAGGAAATGAAGCGAGTAAAAAGAGTATGGACAGGCAATGGATGGAAAAGGGATGTCGTCAACGGTGAAGTCACTCAAAGTTTGGTGTCGCTGTCGCCCGCGTGTTGCAGCGGGAAGAAAAAAAATTGGGAATGGAGAATGGAGGGGCTCCAGCGGCGAACCGATAAGGTGCTCCCTGGCGCTCCGTGCACAGACCACTTTCCTCGCCGAGACTTTCACGGTCGCAAACTGAACCCGGCCGATGGATGGGTGGGCGACGCTGAGGGGAGTGCTGAGACCCGGGCCTTCACTGCCGTGGAACACTCTTCACTCTCCATCGATCAACCTGGCTGGCGCGCCTCATGCGAACGTCTCGGATCGAGAACAGGTCTGGAACATTACAGGCACCCATCAGGCAGCCCTCCAGGCAGCGGCCACCCGGTCTCAGGTCCAGTCCCCTCCCGATCACGCCGGACCTGGCCGGACACACAGACGGATTTTGGATTGTCCGAGCGACGGGCGATCCAGGCACCGGCGTTGTGGGGTCACAGCGGTGCACAATCCGTCCCCGACCCGACCGCTTGTCGCCGGGTCCTTCCCGTTACATTCGGCAAACAGTCATCGGCCGTTGTGACGACACGTCATTACACACAGTCGGGTCACATGCCAAAATTACAAGATTCAGACCGATGACATGACTCCAATTCAATTCCCCCATTCCTTATCTAGCGCTTTCACCCAAACAACAGGGTAACTACAACAACTTGGTATCCCCTCCCAATGATTGACGCCCGTAGTGCACAAATGCATACCCATCATCAAAACAATAGCTCGCGACTGATGCGACCAGCACACCAGCCGCCATGATCATAAATCACAACTTCCACTCCAACTCATTTCCCTTGTCTCCCTCCCCTTCTTCCCTCAGACCCTCCCAAACCCATTCCAACACCCTCTCCCACACCCAATTCCCATCATGTTCCCTCTCCATCAACCCCTTCACCTCTTCCATCGCTTTGGGATCATTCAAATCCCAACCCCACCATCTCGCCGCATCTCTAATCTTTAGCTTGGCCGCCTTTGCGTCCTTCTCCGGATGTCCTTGAAACGTCAAGACGCTGTTATCGTGTGAGAGGAGACATTCATTGTTGGCGAGTAGTTGGTAAAAATTAGGTGGTGTAGAAACAAGCTGTCGACGATGGTGTTGATGAAGTCTTAGCGAGCTCTTCTTTTCCTCTGCTTTTCCTCCTGCTGTTGATGGTGGCCCTCGGTCATTGAAAAATCGTAACCCGGCGGGGGTGAGTTTCGAGTCTGTTACTCCTAGCTGTTTACATTACATCAGGGCATCAGTTAGCATTGCCCATTTTGCCATTATTTTCTTTCACATCACCATTATTATCAGATTGGAAGAATCTAAAGTAACATACCTCAGGCAACCTCATCTCCCCCACCTCCCCTCCTCCCATCACCAGCCCCAGCGTCTGATGTCCCCAACAAACCCCCACCATCTTCTTCTTTGGCCATTCCTTTCTCGTCTGCCGTACAAATTCATGCACCCTCAATATCCACGCATGTCTTTTCCTCGGATCAGCATTTCCTCCTCCGATAACAATCAGGTCAAATTCCGCCGGATCAGGCAGGAATTCTTTCATCCTGCTGCTGCTTGTCCTACTAGCTTTTGCATCAACCTTTGTACCTCTAGTAGCCTCGCTCTTTCGACCACCGTCAGACTCAGAGTCGTCCGAAGAGGACCGACCCCCAAACCCGTTCGAACAATCAGACGACAAGGCCCCGTCCGACAACTCCGCAGACCCCCCATTATTACCCCCGCCGTCGTTGTAACATCCGTCCCGGTCGTTGTGAGGACCCTGGGGACAGCAGTAAAAGTTGTCGGCTGGGTAGAAAAAGGATAAAGCAGGCTGGAAGCGGCAGGTCGGGGATTGCGTTAAGGAGGCGAAGCAGCGTGTGTAGGAGTCGCGGATGGAGGAGATGTGTGGGGAGCGGTAGGAGTTGAGGAGGATGGCGATTCGCAAGGGGATTTTGGTTGGTTGGTTTTCAGGTGTGTCGTTGGTATTGTCTTGGTTGTGATTGTGGTTGTGGTTTTGGCGAGGGTTGACCTCGTAGTGAAGAGTACCTCTCGGGGAGTCGGTTGAGGCGGTCATGTTGAATGGCCGCTTGGATGGGTGGTGCTTTCCCTTTGTTTTTCTCGTAAGCAAGTTAAGTAAGTTGATGGCGCTGGATCGTGAAGTCGGGTTTGTAAAGTGGGGAGGAGGGAAAGCTTCTTTTTAAGTCTTGCTTGCTTTCTTTCGTAAGCAGATGAATGATCGATCAGGGGGAGGCTTATAGCCGGCTATAGTAACCGAGTTACATAAAGTGAGCTTGATAGCTTTTGCCAATGCGTTGCTCCTTTAATGTATTCAGATCCCTACCTCTACTTTTCAGGCAAGCATTCATTCGATACAAAACCGACAAAGGCTGGGGGAAAGGGAACCCTTGTTTTGGAGCTGGGGAGAAGAATACTTTGCAAGAGCACGGCAGTTAACTAACTTGATGATGATCCATCTCAAGTCACACCAAAGCACACCAAGCAATGGCTGAATAGGAGAATAACGAAACACGTTAAACAAGACGGATTCAGGGCGGACGGCCAAGCCCCGATTCCTCTCATCCACTGGATGACGTTCCTTGGGGGTTCTGCACTAGTGTAGGGGACTTCTGGGGAATGTGAGTGAGTACAGGTTTGTATGTTAGTTTGGTACACTAAGCACGCCTGGTAGTATACCTGAGTAGACATAGTGCACTAGACGAAACCTATCCCGCATTGTCCCAAAGTTCACAAGGACAAATCGGAATGGCTGGGTGTATATGATCACGGCATTGATTGGAATTAATATAATATAATGGATATAGGAAATGGTGTTTTCAAGGTAAGATCACGCATAGGGAAGTTGACGCGAGGTCTTGAGCTAACAAACAAACCAGTACTGGACTGTAGTGTACCTTGAAGATGACATCATGGCAGTTGAAAGTCGCGAAACTTAGGTACACCAGGGATGGGCTCATTGGTGGTTTCAGCTGCCTGTCTACCCCAGCTGTCACCTCGCCCATTATAATTGACGATTTGCGAAGGAGGCCCCTTTCCAAAAGCAAAAAAAACCACTGGTAGGTTTTGTTCAAGTTGTCATGCCATCTCGACATTATGAAAATTTATCTGTATGAAGGAGGTTGTCAGATTCGCATCCCGGGCTGCGCCGTATCTGTGCAGTAGGTCGCGACCTCAAGGAGCTGAAAGGGATCACCGGGCGAATCACAGGCTCGTCCACGACAAAATTACGAGACTTTTGCATTCCGATACCGCTCGTTGTAGTTAAGAAAGGCCGTTGCAAAACTATAATAGGGATTACGACAATTCGAAAACACATCGGCGAGAGTCTCTTTGGGATATTGCTACCCAGGGACTGCCTAAAAGATTAGTTCAGGGGTGTATCAAAGACGCTTAGATGCGTAATAAGGGTATGCCCAAGGTATAATGTCAAAGGTCTTAAGCATTTTGTCTAGGACCGTGACGAGACAGGCAGGGAAAAGGTATCACTCAGGGGAAAACACGGGATGACAGGGCGCAGTAATGGATCAGATGCCATACGGCGCCGCTGTCAAGGCATTTCACTGTCAGCTCAGTGGATCGTCCCGCTGTACCTAGGCGGCGCTACACATTTTGCGGGGCATCCCGCAATTGTTCGGCAGATCGGGTCTATTTCATCCCATCCCTTTGGATATAGACATGGGTCCATTGTTTCGTTTGGAGGGATTGTTGGGATGACAGCATCGGATGACAGGCGACAAACAATCTGGAAGATAGATTTCCAGGCAAGGAGTTCAGAGATTGAAATGAGGTAAGTAAAAATAAGCGGAAGACTTAATGGTAAATCTTTAAGACATGTTGTACAGTCCAGTACTGGTTTGATTGTTAATTCGAGACCTTGTGTCAATTTTCCTATGCGTTTTTATAGCTAATCAATGCATAATCTTACCTTGGATACACTGTTTCTAAGATTCAGAATGCTATATAAAATCCTGCTAATGCCTTTTGATTTGTCTTAGTGAGCTTTGGAACTATTAGGAAAAGGTTTCGTCTAGTGCACTATGTATGGTGGACTACTAGGAATACTTAGTGTATTACTAAAAATTCCTAGTGTACCAAACTAATAAATAAACCAGCATCGGACTGTCGAACAGCATAGTACTATTGGAACTTTGTATTAGGCTAAAGCCCGCTCATTATTATATATTTCCATTGTAGGTATATAGATTGCAAAAACCATACAAGAAGTTGTATATTTCATTAGATCATCCACATTATAGGCATCTCATCATTTTGTATCCAATTCAGCAACTTGGGGTATCATATCCCTGCCTCCAATCAGGCAGTAAAAGCCCTCTTACTCTTTGCAGCATACTTAATCGTGAAGGGCTCGGTAGTCTGAGTCTCCCAGTCCAGGGGCCACTTGCTGTTCCCGTAGATCTTGAGCGCCTTAAGCGTGATCTTGTAGGTGTCAGCAGGGGCGTAGGTGCCATCAGAGAGGGCACCATCCCAGTTCCACTCGAAAGTACCGCGGGGGTTCCAGCGGGCCGGGAAGGTGAGGACCTGGCCGATGGTCTTGCCCTTGGAGTTGACGACGTCGGCATGAACCTCAGCAGAGCCCATGCTGAGGGTAAGCACGATGGTCGGGTAGACGGTGTTGGCGTACAGGGTGTCGTTTGCCTTGCCGGCGGGAGGCAGGGTGAAGGTGGTGCCGGCAGCGACGGGAGCGTAGGTGGCGTCGCTGGATTGGCTGAGGTAGCTGTTCTGCTTGTCAAGGACGGTGACAGAGCGCATGCTGCCGACGACGCCCTGGTAAGGGAGCGAGTAGCCGGTGGAGTCGGTGCCGTTAAGGGTGATGTAGCCCGAGTAGACGGGCAGGCGCTTGGCATCGAGACCCAAGGGGGGAATGGCGAGGACGGTGACGGTCTTCTTCTGGCCAGGGTTAAGGGTGAGCTTGGCGGGGGTAAGAACGAGGGTAGCCTTAGCGTCGACCAGCTCGTTGGGGAAGGCAGCAGGGCCGATAGAGTTGTCGTTGGCGAAAGTATAGGCGGTAGCAGCGCTGGTATGTCCGAGCTGGTAAGTGACGGCCTTCTTACCAGTGTTGGTAACCTCGAAGCTCTGGAGGGGCTTGAAGTGCTCAGTGTCGTTGAAGGAGATGCTGGAGACGCTGAGGAGGGCGTTGGCGTTGGCAGCGTCCCAGGCCTGGATCAGACCGGCACCCTGCTGGGCAACCGGGGCAAGCATGGGGTAGGTCTTGGTACCATCGTTGAAGAGGTTAGGGTGGGCAGTGGCGGAGAAAAGGTTCTCGAGGACCTTGGGGTCCTTGGTGCCACGCTTCTGCATGACGAGGGCCCAGGTGGCAGCAGCAAGAGGGCAGGCCATGGAGGTACCAGAAAGTACAGCATAGGAGCCAAGAGCACGAGGATAGGTGGAAAGGATCATACCGCCGGGAGAGGAGATCTGGGGCTTGACATCAACCTCATAGGTCGGGCCCCAAGATGTGTAGGTGCTGAGGAAACCAGGGGTAGCGGTGTTGGGGAAGTTGTTGAGGTTCTTGGGGGCGGTCTCAGGATCAGCCATGTTGACAGTGACCTGAGTGCCGGCCTGAAGAGCCTTGATCCAGGCAACACCGGTCTCGGAAGTGACCATAGCAGCGGCCTTGACACCTGCAACGGCGCTGACATCGACCTTGGTAGATCCAGAGACGTTGTTGTAGTAAATGATGTACTTGGCTCCTTTAGCGGCAGCGTTCTGAGCCTTCTGGACGAAGGTGCAGGTGCCACGGCGGATGAGAACGATGTACTTGGAGAGGTCAGGGGTGTCATCGGGGAAAGCCTCGCAGCCGTTGGCAGTATCGGCAGTGTTGAAGTTGACAGACCAGACAGGAAGGCTGACATTGGCCCAGGCACTGGGAGAGCCAGCGGTGAAGCCGAAGGTCGAAAGAGAGCCGTTGGCGACAGAGTAAGAGGCCTCGCTGAGAAGAGCAGGGGCAAGGATGTTGTCGACAGAGGCGACAGCGGTAACCCTCTTGCCGTTGGCGGCAGTAGAAGCGTAGAAGATACCCGTAGCACCATCGTTTCCGGCAGAGACAAGGCAGGGAACACCCTTCTCGACGATCCTGCTGACGACGGCAGCCCAAGAGTCCTCGGGCCAACCAGAGGCACCACCAATGGAGGCGGTGATGATGTCACTGCCATCATCGTAGGCCTTAAGATAAGCCTCGATGAGGATGTCATTACCGACATCACCACTGCAGCCGAACACACGGTAAGCACCGAGGGTCACATCGGTGGCAGCACCAATGATGCCATAGGGGTTGTTGGTATTCCCGGATATCACCCCACTGACATGACTGCCATGCCCATTACATGTGTCCATAGGATCGGAATCAGGGACGGGAGTGTTGGAGCCGTTGAAGTCATCCCCGACCAAGTCGGTACCGTATGAGACCAAACAGCCGGGGCCGAAGCAGCCACCGAGGGCAGGGTGAAGATAGTCGATACCAGTGTCGATGACGGCGATCTTGATGCCCTTGCCAGTGATACCGGAATCCCTGAACTTGTTGACCTGGGTCATGAGGTGAGGGGAGAAGGTGTCGTTGCCAGTGTCACGTTTGGCGACAACCTCCTGGACGGCGCTGCCAGTGGAGTGAACCGTGTGCTCGGGAATAGAGTAGCGCCTGACAGGGTACAGGGCCTTAACGCCAGACATGGCAGCAATTTTGCTGGCGAGGTCATCGGCCTTGTTAAGGTCCTTGAACTGGAAGGAAGCACCCTTGAAGAGCTCATGGCGGATATCCTTGCGGATGGTGGCATCACCTTTGATTGAAGCGAGGATGGAGGTAGGATCCTATTAAGCACATATGATTAGCATAAGGCATCCCGCTCGCTTGAAAGTCTGTCCAAACTTACATGGCTATCCTCGTACTCGACGATATAGGCACCGGGGACAACCGCTGGGGCCTTTTGTTGGGCAGCTTGGGCGAAAGACGCAGCCGCAAGGAGCGTCGTGGCCAAACCAAGACGAACCATGATGAATGATGTCTTTCTCACTTGTGGCAGAGAGAGAAAGTCAAAGGATGGGAGGGGAGACCACCGTCTGAGAGCGAAGCAGCTGCGAAGTAGACTGACGGCTGCGGGATCGTCTCGGCGCTACACTCGTAGGTCTTGAGCGGGCGGAGGATGAGGCGGCACCATGGTAGGTATATATGCATTTTTTCCATCGCGTAGTGAACGGCATGGTATGATCCGTCTAAATTGACGATGTTCGGGACCCGAATATCAGAACCCACTTTAGACGAGGAGGGAAGAAGAGCGGCGACCGGGATGGTATGCGGGGGGCGCTACCGGAAGCGATGCCAGGTCAGGAAGGACGACAGAAGGTCGACCAGGGCATGGAGAGCAAATGGCGGCCGAGTTAAAGGACCAAGGGCCTTATCTGGGCACAATTGATTAAGCTTATTGGACCATCTGCATCGGCAACCTCTGTGAAGGCGTGCTTATGGCACCTTTCTCGACGAGGCAGGTCGATCGCTCCACGACGGTCGATACAACTCTAAAGTGGCCGATTGCGGTGGCCAAGAAGCCATCCGTAATTTTAATTTACCGGAGGGCGACTTTTGTTCCTTCTGCTCGTCTTCTTGCATGGGACGGCAGCGTAAAATGCTACTGCAGAGTAACGGTACCACTGAGGCATGTCTTGGCTCTTTGGCTGGAGTCCGATGCTGGTTTGTTTGTTAGCCTGGTACACAAGACGAAATCTATCCCGAATAGTCCCAAACCTCGCAAGGACAAATCAAAATGGCTATCACGAATGATAAAAGGCGTTAGTAGGATTTGATAAGGTATTTTGAATATCAGAAATAGCGAATTCAAGGTAGGATGACGCATTAGTTAGCTATGAAAACGCATGAGAAAGTTGACACGAGGTATCGAACTAACAACCAAACCAGTACTGACGGGACTGTATGGGAATAGTAGCACATTGAGTGAGCACATTGCACTAGGCAATGGGACGCTGTTGTGCTTGCATAGGGAAGGGAGATCTCGTTTGTGAGGATCCCTCTGCAATGCAGGTTACCTTGTGTCTTTTGACATGTCCGACTCCGACCATGTTCCCGTCAATTACTGTGATCCGAGGGCTGGGCATTCGTTGTATGTTTACATATTAGACTTTGCTAACGACATGCGGACAGGGACATGGCAACAGCACCAAAGAGAAGCTGAGAAGTCCCATGTGAACAACAACAGACACCCAAGATCTTGGACACAGGCTTGGCAATGCGAAGCTTTTTTGCCTTCTCTTTTCCAACGTCTTTAAGTGATTGCTTGGCCTTGCCGGGGCTTGTTTTCCTTGTGACTTTTGTAGTTTTGGTGGTGAATTCTTGTTGTTATCAGTCGGCTAGACTAATAGATAACATGCCAACGTTTATCACCATGGTAGCTGCCTTTTCCACGATTGATCCGCCACAGTACAGTGATGATACTTGACCACACACATGTCGTCCAAAGCCACTGAGTGACGCGAATGATTCAGTTACTGCCTCGAGACTTCGACGCCAGCAGACGATCCATGGCGAATTTCCTTTTCCTGTTTTTCTAGATGAGATGTGTGCTTATTTTTCTTTTGGATAGCTTCCTTTTGCAGAGTTGGAATCGGAGGCGGTATAAAGCACAGCAGAGCCTCGGCCAGACGCAAAGTCACCACGTTCTTGGGTGGTAATTGGAGGGGGTGAAGGGTGTAAAGGTAGGCTCGAATAGGCAGTTGGGATGCCATCAGGTGCTGCTATTGGAATTGAATGTTCCTGCGTCGCCCCGCCTTCACAGTGTCCCACTGACTAGGTTGACTAGAGCAACAATGAAACCCTGTTGCTGCAGTGAATGGGTTGCTTGGAAAGGCCTCCAGCGGACGAGACCGACGCCGATGACTCCCAACCAAGGAACTATCCTGGACCAAGATTGGACGAGCAGGTCAAGGGCATCAGTTAAAGACCAGAGGACCTGCTAAAACGGGACAGCGAAAGCGAACCACATCTTGGGACTAATTGATTTCGTAGAGTCATGGTTTTGGCGAAGGCAGCTGGCCAGCATGGCTGGAAATCAGACTATGCCATCCATCAAGCAGCGAGACGGGTGCTTCACTCTGTATCGTCTGACATCGCCAGACATGTTCAGATGTTGTCTTATAAAAACAAATACCATCCTGAGCCAACTCGGCAGAGTTCCGAAACGGGCTTGGGTTCTATATGAAAGCTGCTACACAGAACGCCCGAACGGCATGAATGCAGCAGCCACAAACTCGGGAGTCGAGATAAGCGTATGCAGTGACTTTCAAGATGGCCGTTGAGTGGTGGTTCGACAAGGTGAAACAAAGTGCTGTACTGTAGGTAGGTAGCTTAAACGTGGAAAGGCGCATGCGTGAAGAAACCGGGGAGCCAATAACACCGATACTGGTGCGTATGCTTCAACAATGAAGGACCAGACGGCATGTAGGATATAGAGAAATGAGACATGATGGAAAAGCCCCAACAATCTGGCTGTCCATGTCTACACAGCTCACCCAGTTGAGCTGATCGGGGCGGTGAGCTTCACATGACCGTTGACCTTGAACTGGCCAAGAGCCATCATTGAGAGCGGGAGGAAACAAGAACTAGGATCGGAATTTAGCTGGTGTACATATAGTGATGGTGTTGTGAGAATGGCTTGATGATGGCGGTAGCTTCGGCTCAAGTTGATGGACGGTGTGAGCAACATCTCACCTTGCGTTCCTGCAGCTTGAAAGTTGCCGGCGGCATATAAGAATTGCCGACCTGGCAGGCTCAGTGGGTTGTCTCTCGGCTTTTGGAGAAGTCTCAGCCAATCAAAGGTTCCCAAAGATTGATGACCGAGCCGGGAGCACGAAGCTCTCCGCAGGTTGCCGTCGTTGGATGAACTTCATTGATCGAGACGAACACCACCACAGTGACTTCAGTTGACACTCCTGTCATCCCATCCCAGCATTGCATCGTCGTTTTGAACGAACCATTCAGATCTAACAGTCAAACACAACATTTGTGACTACACAAGGTACGTCTTCCACTCGACCGCGCCGGGTCGCCTGCGAAGACTTAAACTGATTATATTGCCGTCACAGACTCGAGCCGCCAACTACCACTCCCTGTTGAATCGCCTACCGTATTCCCGCAACGCCCCCTTCACCATGATTTGCAGAGCCTGTCTTCGTGCTAGCAGAGCTGGCCTCCGCTCCGAGGCTTCCCAAAGACTCGCTTCTCTCCAGACGCCAAGCAGGGCTCTCTCTTCGCCGGCTTCTACACGCCTCGCTGCACCTGCCGCATACTCTACCTCTGCTCTTCTTCAACAGCGCACCATTCACACCCCGGCTCGCCTTGCCTCGAGGACATACTCTACCGCAGCTTCGGAACAGCCTGCGAGCGCTGTCCCGGAAAAGCCGGAAGATCTGGACGAGGGAGAGGCCCAGGTCTGGGATATCTTGGTCCGCGAGTTTGCGCCCACCAACCTCGTCGTGCGAGACATCTCGGGAGGCTGCGGCTCCATGTATGGCGTCGACATCTGCTCCGAGAAGTTCCGTGGCCTCAACATGCTTAAGCAGCAACGTCTGGTCAACGCCGCTCTCGGTGACCTGGTCAAGCAGTGGCACGGCATCCAGATCAAGACCAGCGTGCCTTGAAGAAGAAAACAGGGGAGGAAAGTAAGAGAAAGATGATTCTATATTTTTCACTGCCATGTACACCACTCGATACCCAATGAACAACCGCGCCAAATCTCTTGAATGGCCGCACTGCCCTACCACCAGGACAAACTCTCATCTGATGCGAAACTCGAAAATGCCACCATGCCCATATCGTCCTGCACGATTCCTCATGACAAATCCGACGTTTCCTCATTCTCCATTTCGATGCCTATGGTACCCCAGTCCACTGCCGGAACCGACCCGGGATCAGGTCTCTTGCTAAATAGTGGCTGTCTGGTTCACCCGCGCTCGGTCAGTCAAGATACCCAACCCCAGACCCAAGCAGAAAAGAAGAAAAAAAAGGTGAACCATGCCATTCATATGATGGATGAAGGAAAAATGAAAAATTGACAAGAGTGGGATTCGAACCCACGCCCTTTCGGACTACGGATATGAGATTAAACTCAGATTAAGGGTTAACCTTAACGTAGCGCCTTAGACCGCTCGGCCATCTTGCCTATTGATGGAAAAACTACCCAATTCTGGTGTTGACATATCCCATTGTGGATATCCCTCACCTTCACTACGGCGATGGATATTGACCCATGAAGGTTCCCGATGAATAACCATGCAATGCGTCGTGGCTTCCCCGAAGAACATTATGTCGATCTATATACAGTTCGAGAGAAGATGAAGAGATGTCCTCACAATCGTAGCAGGTGTGTACAGTCCAATGATGCTCTGTTTGTTTGCAAGATACCAGTCCTCCAAGGAACCAAAACCCCTAAACTGTCCTCAAAGTGTCAAGATACCTGTACACATCGAACTCTCGTCTGTCTGCTCATTGACTCGACCTTATGTACCGTCTATTTTGACACTAGTTTGTTTGTGTGTTCAGGACCTTGGGTTAACTTCCCTAGGCGTCATGATATCTCGATACGCGTTTCGTCCATGACTGAAGCCTGATCAATCTTGACTACCTAGGTATGCTTGTTTCGATGCTGAATATGTTATGTTAAATCCTTTGATGCATTTCCAATCAGTGCCTAAGCGTATTCTACCAGTGCTGAAGAAAACTAGTTCAATGCATCCTTATAAGGTTTGGGATAGTTGGGATACCGCTAGGTTTCGTCCAAACACCAGGAGTATCCAGCTAACAGACAACCCAACATAAGATTGTTTTTTCGTCCTACACTGGTAATTTCTGTACCTGTGGGGTGTCATTCGGATCTCGATTCTCCTGTGCCTCTGTTGCATCTTCAGAATCACTGCAAAAGGGCCCGTGGTGTCAATCTCTCGGGCAATCTTTTACTACCTCTAGGTATTCACTCGCACTAGTCTCGTCCTCCTCGTCAGACTTCAGTCGGAACTTGACCATAGAAAAGTCTCTCAAGACCGATTTTTCCATCTCCATCTCAATCAACATTCTCGGCAGGTCTCCATCTGCTTTCAGGTCTTCATCAACCAATCACGTACAGTCCAATGCCGAATGACCTGTTCATTATACTTAGTATATCAGTGAACGGTGGGAACGAAAACGAAACCTCAAGACTTAGAAGAATGGTGTGAACGCGTGTTGATTGACGGAGCAAGGGCTAAGAACATAAAGAGCGTAGGTGAATTTGTGATATATAAGGTAGGATTCACAGGAGTGATCCACGTGCAGGTCGACAACAATGGTGGCCAAGGTAATCATCTTGCTCAACCAATTGTCGGATGAGTGAGTTGATAGTTGGTTCAAGGTAATCACCAAACAAACGGAAATACGAGATGAAATCTCTCACAGAACAAAGCGGGCGCATTAACGATCGGGAACCTTGATGACTTTTGATACCTACCTGCCGGATGAAACCTGCTTTATTCGTCTAATAAGAGTCGAGAAGAGAAGGATCAGAATCCAAGTGGAGGAAATATTCCAGACGAAAGATATCTGTTTCGCTGACGATGCTGCCTTGGAGGTACTGCGAGGTCCAGTTACGAAAAGGCGGGGAGTCGACCGAGGAAGCCGTAACACCCACTTACCCCGAGTGAGGAAGGTTCCATGAATTGAATCTTAGTATACGGCACACTCTTTGGACGACTAAAGTTTGTTCTGAACGTGCCTGCTGATTTGGAACTGAAGGTGCGTGTGGATCAGGGTCAGGATCAGAAGTCGGCTCCGTGGTGTCTTGCCCGATGAGATGGATCTGGAAAGAGGAGTAGATTTAGAAATTTGAATTCTTAAGCTGATTGTTTTACCAGTGAGCCGATTCGCCAGCCAGAAGATCATTGCACCAAGTCACAAGTCGAAGAGAGATATTTTTTCAAACAACCAAGTTCTTTTGTTCAGCTAGCTACCTCTATTAAAGACAATTATTGACTACTCTCTACGTTCAGAGCAAAGGACCCCCCAATGATTTATGTGCAAGAACTCCTCCCGATCTATACCCTTGGCTACCTCTATGCGACTCTATTCCCCTCGACTCCTCGTCCCCTCTTCCCCTCTTCCCCTTCTCTCACTCCCCACTCCTATCCTCTTCCTCTTCCTCCCCTTTTTTTGTCCACTGCTTTTCTATGTTTTGTCTGACTCCCCCGACACTCCACTCCTCTCCACTCCTTTTTCCTAACTCCTACTCCTACTCTTTCCCACTCATCCTTCTCCTTCTCATTCCTCCACTTCTACTCGTACTATTCATCCGCCTATCATCTGAGCATCGCACTCTTGAATCTAAAACCGGGCAGGTTAAAGAATTTAGAGGACAATCTTGAGGGTGGCGCTAAGGAAGCCGACAAGGCCACCAGCGAGGAGGTTGATGGAGTGAGCGCGGGCCTGGATCTGGGCAACGAGCTGAGGAGCCTCAATCTGGAGGCCGACAACAGCGCGGAGGGCAAAGTTGACAATGGGAGTAGCAATGGGGAGGAGGAGGCCAGAGACGAGGTTGAGCTCAGCACCGATGACCTTGAGGACGTCGTGGCTGACGGTGGCGACGAGGTGCTTGAGGCAGTTCTCGACCTGGCTGAGGAGGATCTCGACATCGGCAATGAGGTCAAGGACGATCTGGAGCTCACCAGCGACGAGGCCGACCTCGGGGCGGATGAGAGCGGTGATCTGGGGAACGACACCGGTGACGACGGTGTGGAGGTGGCCCTGGAGGCTGACGAGGGCCTCGAGGAGGAGCTGAGCGTCGACGCCAGCCTTGACCTCGAGGAGCTCAAGGATGTGGGCGATGTCGGCCTTGACGAGGACGTCGATGTTGAGGACGATGGTGGTGACCTCCTTGACGATGACGACAGGGGCCTTGCCGTTGATGGCACCGGCACCAGCGCTGCCAGTGGAAGGGACGGAGGGAACACCGGTGGGGACGGCCAAGCCGGAGGTGAGGTACTGGGTCTTGGAGTCGGAGACAGTGGTGGCCCAGGTCTGGTAGAGGGTGGTGGCGGAGGTCAAGGTCTGGACGGGGGCGGGGACCAAGTTATCGCCGTTGATGGGGGAGGCAAGTCCGGAGGGGATAGCGGCGCCGGAGGGAAGAGCAGCGCCGGAGGGGAGAGCGGCACCGGAGGGGAGAGCGGCACCGGAGGGAAGGCCGTTGATGCCGGAGGGGGCAGCGCCCTGACCACCGCAGGCAGAGCCGAGGATGGGAGAGGCAAGAGCGGAGCCAATGGTGGCGGCGGAGAGAGCAGCGCTGAAGAACTTCATGTTTGCGGTTGTTGGTGGTTGGTGATTGAAAAGAATGGATCTAAAGAATGTAAGAGTAGTTGGATGTTGGTATTAAAGAATGACTGGTGTGTATTAGGTATTAGTTGTAGTAGTGAAGGAGTGTTGTGAGTGTGTGATGATGAGAGAGAAGAAACCGGTTGATGGAGGAAGATGACCTCGAGTTATATACAAGTTTGTCGTCGATTCTGACCTCCTCATCTCACCCCCATGTCGGCGATATTGTCTGTGCGGGTTGTTCGCCATCAACCTTAGCGTCATAGCGATAGGCGGTGTCTCCTTTCTCTCCCCTTCGGCCAATCTCGCTGGATTGGTGAAGTTGGACAAGCCGTCAGTGGCAGCTACGGTGAATTTGGTGGAGGGGCGTAAACGGTGAACGCGTTCTCCACGGCCACGACACTTGGGAACAAGGATTTCGAAGCTTTGAACCACCCAGCTGGTGCCGCAGATCTCAATGAGCCTGGTGTCAAGGCCTGTCAACGACTGAGAGTCTCCGCAAATAATTCAGCTGTAGCGTCTTGAAGCTGGCACGGTGACTGAGGTGAGGCTAGGAGAGACTCCATCACAGCTTCATTCAAAGGTGCCATGTGAATGCACTAATGGCTTGGCAGGCTCATCCATGACAAGACTGATGAGGCCTTTGCGTGTACTCGTGACAGCGGGCCTAACGATATCAAGACGAGGGCAAAATCCATCGTGGTGGTGTTTTGATATTCCAGTTAGTGGTATTCACCAGCGCGATAAACTTCGATCTAGCGTTGGTGCAATCGACATGATTCCATTCCCAGCACGTTTTCTTCAACACTGAGACAACACCTTATTGTGCAGATCAGGGACTACGAATGCAAGATGAAGCAGTGAAGTTGAGACATTGGGTTGCAGATGCCACAATGGATCTTAGGGACGTGCCGTTCAGGGGTTGTTTTTCCTTGAAGAAAACAACAACGGCATTTTGGTAGGTTCCATTGATCGACGTCGTCCGCTCAGGGGTTCCATCCAGATTCCCGACTCCGGCGTCGATCACTTCCCGTTGCGCCACTCTAGCCTCAACTCACCGTCGTCACCGCCGTGTACCTGTTGCCCCGACTCTACCGACTTTTTGAAAGCCTCTTTCGCTTGCGAGTGCCGTAGAATTGCTCCAACTATTTTGATATCAGCAGAATAGATAGTGGCAAGGGGACGCCTGCTAGATCGTTCAATAAGGACCGTTGCATTCTCTCATTTCTCCGCAATGTGCAAGCGACAAGGCGTCTGTGGAGAACTCCAGATGATGGCAGGTTTCCCAAATTGCCCAATTGTTGAGTTTTGACCAGGGTCGCAGATCGTCTCTTGTTCATTCCTCTTATGAAGGCATCACAGGTGTTAGTATCTTTGTTCGTAAGATGAAAGGGCGAAGTGGCTCAGCGGCAATATGGACACAAGGTTTATTGCCGTCTCTAAGAGCAATTTCATAAACAGACTTGTAGAGCTGAAGTGATGTCGGTTTCAAGGCTGTTGATCTTCTTCAAGCTAAGCAAAGTAAAGATCCTTGAAAGTACACTAACAATTCAGGCACCAGTTCAATCCTTAAAAAAGCGTTTGTTTTAGAGTGAGACTTGACTTGGACTTTCTTTTGACAAGGGAGAGGATAACCAAGACCAGTGAACGAGTGATTCTCGCACAGATGCACCATAATATTATGCCATGTATACACGCCGTTACGCTAGGACTCTGGAAATAGCCAACCTGAAGGTGGTCAAAGAGCCTTCAGCATGTACCACGCTATCGAACAATATTAATTAAGGGGTAAACTTGATATGTGGGGGGCCGCTCAAAGGATCGGCACTTGGTGGAGTTCTTGCACTTGGTGTACTGACACCTCACTCACAGAAAATCCGGGTTCCCAGGCCGCGGAAAAGGTTGCACTCAGGGAGGCAGGGAGGCTTGCACTTGCAGGGACATTTGCCGTACACTCCACGTGTGGCGGAGACAGGTGGGCGGTAGTATTGCGCCGTGAACCCCGACCATCTTCACTCAAAGGCTAGGAATAAGGCCAAGAACACTGAGCTTCTGAGATTCTCCACCGACTTGGACACAACGACACAGCAACACAGACGCATCACGTTCACATTATCTACACGGCCAGACTCAGCTCAACGGTGGCGTGGCCATGGCCTAGTCTAGCGTA